TGGCACTAACCCTTATGCGGCAAAAAAGGAGGCACCGTTTTGCGAATAAGGCCTCAGTAGCACCTGAGTGGTGCTTCAAAGAGTCACTTCAATATTCACTTGCAAGACAGGGTTTGAACCTACTGTCCGCAGTAGTACAGGATGACATCGGCCAAAATACCAGCAGAACATGGGGGTTGCTCACCAAACTCGCATGTTGGGGACACCTGCTGAAGATTGACTTTGGCTCATGAGCTATTGGTTTGTGGGTGTGACGCTGTTCACTTCTTGTGCGAACAGAAGGCAATGTGGGTCGAGGCTGATGACAAATGATGATGCCGACTAACCAGAAAATAGGGGCGGCACACAGCCAATAGGGGCTTTCATTTTTGTTGAAGCCCTGTCTAGCATCCCCTTCAAAAAGCGGCAGAGATCGACGGCATCCAAAACAGGAAGCGACCAAGCCCCCAGCGAAGCTTTGGATGTGACTTCCGGCATTCGGGCTTGAGAAATGGCAAAGGTCACTTTGAAAACCTTGCCACGTGGTGTGTGACTCTGTTTTTAGGAATCGGCCCCCGTTTTCCTCCTGGTTTTCCTGCAAAAATAAACATGGTACCCACCCCTTCAAAATGAAATTGGTTTTCCTCTTAGGTTTCCCTGACGTTTTGAGACCCCAGCAGCTGTGCCTGTGTTTAGAGTGTTTTTCTTGGGGGGGGGGCAAGGGATTCGCCTAAAAAAAGACATGCCTAAGTTGTGCTCGAACTGACAATCAAACATCAAGAAGGCCGCTTTCTGGTTCATCCTCACCAGGGGCCATGCATGAAGGTAGTTCTAGCTGTTCTTCCCTCATTCTTTCTACAGGTCGGCAGAAAATCACAAACCCACCCACCAAGTTCAGGTGGTTCTCAGATTGCAGGATCGCCCTACAGAAGTGATAGGATAAAGCCAGCTGTCCATTTTGAACAGCCTGGAGCGCTGGCAAATCAACAACCCCATACCTGCATTGCCAGGCTTGACTCACCGGTTTAACTCTTTGCCGTTTTGGTTTTCCTTCATTTTCCCTTTCAACTAGCAACAAGTCAGATGCTGATATACCCTGCCCCAGGTGCTGGGTCGAATCGCCGACGCATGTCAGGCAGAGTCTGACCGGGCCCAGCGGGTTTCCGTTGGCGAGACTCAGAAACAGCCCGGGTGCACAGACCGGACGCGAACCCCCGTGAATCAAGAGGCTCATAGCCCTGGATTGATACAACTTCTACGCAGGATGCTTGACGGATGCCCACTTCTAGTTGCCTCCGAAACCCTTTACTTCCACTCTTTGTGGCTTGAAAGGACATGTTTCTTGGGCCAAGTGATGTTTCCTGTAGGAGTTAGGTTCCCTTGTTCTATTCGAGGGCTTCTTTCGACCTCGCCAACTGGAATCTGCGCAGTATGGCAGGGCATTTGCCTTCTTTGTTGTCCTGCCATGGTCGAATGTTTGGGCTTCATCCGCTTGAGATAGTGTAAAGGGGAATTCAACTGAACCACCCCAGCCACTGCCATGATTGCTCACCTGAAACGACCCTTTAACTTGTCTGGTTTGGGCCCAGTTTTGGTCAAGGTTCCAAAAGCTTCTCCTATTTTGGTCCAAACTGTGGTTCCTGGCTTGCTTAGATCATTGGCACGGCACAAGTGCTGCCGGGCAAGCCATTGTAGTAGCCATTCTTTTCAGGGATCCTTCTTTCTAGGAAACCACCAAACATCCTGGGGAAATGGCTGGTTCTTGAAAAGAACGATGGCGGAAAAGAATAGGGAATCAACCCCTGGAATCATGGAACACCTAGGGGTAAATTTACCTGGTAGCAACCTCCGGACTTGCATGCCGAAAACGGCTACACACCTTTGGACAACCAGCCACAAGTTCTGCGGGAAGCCGGAAGTGGATCAGCTGACCTGCTCAAAATCACACTATGAAACTGTGAAACGCTCATTTGAGTTTGTTTTGAAGATGCCTGAGGATTTCATGCGTCAGGTGCCGGCAACGCTCAGGTCTTAAATATTGACAGTGCCACTGCACCAAAGTGTTGTAACTGCACATGTGTTTTCGTTTCTTGGGCTGGAAACAAAAACAAGAGCCCATACTTCTACTAACCCTGTGCGAAGGCTCCTGCTCTTTTTTGGTCCTCAACAACTCAAGGAGTTTAAGTGCCCCAGATCACGTGCATTTCGGTTTCGCCTCCCACTTAGCCGGGCGGATCGCGGGTCGAACGACCATGGCAGCTTATAGATAGAACTAAAAGAGGGTTGTGGGATTGGGCGCTGTTGTACCCCTTCGCCAAAGTTTGTTATTTGTTTTCTTAAATAGTTGTAAATGGCTGTGGTGGGTCAAAACCAATGGTACCATTTTGGGGTAGCCACCCATTTTAGTCTATTTTAGCGGGGATTGGGATCTTCACTGGGGGTGCGGGATTTTGACCCAGGACCAAATGGACCGGGGCCAACTTCCGCATGACAGCGTTTCGGGTTTCGCGGTGTCCAAGATCGTCAAAACACAAGGCTTGAACAAGGGTCCCTTGGTACCTTCCTTGGTATTTTCACCCCATGCCCCGCCGCCATCCAAGGATACAAATGGACCCGGGGTTGGTTTCCCACCCAACCCTCGAGTGCGCGCCTAATGTTTTCCAAAGCTGTTCCACTAAACCTGCGAAAGGTCCAGCGACTCGACCTTTGAACCTCGTTCGGCTGTTTGCCATGTTCCTTTCAGTTGTAGGCTCGTTTGTTTTTGGTCACAAGAAAGGGCACATGGATGGATCCCTTGAGCCTGTTGCTTTTCGCAAAAATCGATTTCAGCCAGTCCCACAACTCTCTACTGTACTGGTATGCCCGATTTCTGGACGCTGCAAGCGGCAAAAAAGGCTTGACGAAACCCAAAAGCCTTTACTAGCATAAGCCATTCTAATTGTTGTTGTTCAAGGTTGGTTCAGAGGGCTAGCTACAATACAGCGAAATGGAATCACTGGGGTAGGCAACTACCAGGTTATGTGCTGTTGTTTCCCTCTAGGTGTTACATGATGGCTTCGTTTGGTTTCCTTCCCAAAGCTAACTGATTCAAGATTGGCTATCTGAAAGGACAGGAAGGGCCAATTTGGGCAAGGAAAAAATGTCAAGCTGGTTGGCGTTTTGAACCCTGGGTCTTGCAGAGGGTAAGTGGAAAACCACCCTGTGTCACCACACCACTGGGCTCCAAACCAACAAATACAGGCAGGCTGATTGAATATGGTTGTGGGACATGGTTTTGCCCTTTCTGTGTTACCAACCCTTCAAAGCAGTGTGAAGGGAATCTATCCCTGCATGAACCTTTTTAACTAGAGGTCATGGGAATGTCCCCCATTGGCATCGCAGTGCGGTGATTTTTCCAATGATAATGAATGCGAATTGGGTATGGATGAAATTTAAACCACCAGGGCCGCAGGTTTTGGTCCATGTTTCCACTTACCATGGTTCCATTTTGGGTACATGTTTTTGACCCACAGCCAATTCACGGATACTCCACGTAGCTGAGCCTTCGGGTGCCCCACACATCCTAGGCTCACGAAGGCTGAGTTGTCTGGATTCCGTTGACCAGGGCGACACTTCACCGACGGGCTCTCTCTCTATATATATAGTAGAAAAACAAATAAGAAAAATAAGATAATAATAATAATATAACATAATAATTTAAAAACACGCCAACTGGAAGCTCCCCAAGGTTTAAACAATTGGATGACTGAAGGGTTGCCTTTGGAACTTGCACATCCAGTCTGAAAATGGAGGAACCCAAAAAATGGTTCCTTCGAGGGTTTGATTCCCCATTCTTTTCAACCATCCTTCTCTTCAAAAACCGGATCCGTTTTTCCTGGGTTTTGGATGGTTTCCTGCCAAGATTCGGATCCCTGGACAGAATGCAGAAGCTTCCCCGAGATCCCCAGTGCTACCCCTTGAAGCCAGCCTAAAAAGGGCAGCCACAAAGAAAAGGCACCCATCAACCCCTCCTACAGCCAATACGCATCCTAAAAAAAACTCCGGGCACCAGGTTTCGTATGGGTGTGTGGTTTTTCAAGGGGACCTATAGCATACTGGTCTCCCTTTTGTTTCCCTTAACAACACCAACTTCAACAAGACACCACGTGTTGTTCTTTGTTGGCTCTTGAACTTGTTGAGAGGCCACGTGGGTTCAAGCGGAAGGGTCTGCGCCTAAAGGGTGTGCCTTGTTCTGTTTCTTTGACTCCCCGAAAATGCGGGGACTTCCGATTCGCCGAGTGCGAAAAGTGCGAGCGCGCCGAGACATGACGAATATTGCCCCAGATTGTGTATATCACTTGCTGGTTCTCACCGATTAAGCAGTATTGACCGATCAATGCGGTGGCACAATTAGCACGTTGTTCTAGGGGTACCTTCCCCATTCTTTCCATGGATCCTTCTTTCTAGAAAGCCTCCGGAAACCCAGGGAAAACGGCCGGTTTCTGGAAAGAACGATGGTTGCAAAGAATGGGGAATCACCTTCAGAGTTGTGCCGTGTGTCTGCAGACAGGTTTTCCCACAAGGTCCAAGTTTCTCCTAAGGATGAACTTAGACTTGCTTTTTCCTTCCAAAAGCCATCCTGAGGAGGTAACAAGGACCTGCCGGGTTGTTGCCCATACCGGATCCCTGAATAGTCAGATTCCTGAATAAGTTTCCTGCAGATTTCTCCTTACTCCAGCTCCGTAGCCCCAAACACCTTTGCCTGGAAAGGTGAAGCTCTTGGTTGCTGCATGTCCTGTGGCTGCAAAGCTGTCAAAACGTTTTGGGGCCCCCTTCAAACTCATCTACAAAAATAAGTATTTTCGTTGGTGCATTTTGCTTGGATGTTGGGACTAACTTTTTACCAACTAATGGGTTTTCCATGAAACCACAAATGAAAAGTTAAACTTTTATCAGGGGAGCAGATGTCGCAACCGAGTTTTGCCCATGGCTCACTGGAGATGAGGTTTACAATCTCCCGATGGGCTCCTGAGCCCCGCGAGGACGAGCCCTTGCGCGTGCTCTTGAGCGCCAGGCCTTGCGAACTCAAGCCGGGGGCGTGGCATCTGTGGAACAGAGCTGCAACAAGGGGTTGAATGTAGGAACATTCTAGTAGGTAACAAGAATCCCACCATGAAACACCTAGAGGTGACCTACTATAGTCTCGGTTGTTGTTGGGAATCATTTTACATTTTTGCTTATTGTGGTTGAGTGGTTGAAACCCACAGCCACTTGACTGCTAAAGTTTAAATTGTTGCTTCCCTTCCAACGTTAACCAAGTATATGCGCTATGGTCAAAATACCCCATTCGGCCCAGTGCTTCCAGTCGGCCAGTATAGTGGGCAACCAAGTACCCTGGGGGTCGAACCACCATGAAAGCAAGGGGGGTTGATATAGCCACCATCATTTGAGTAGTTCCATCTGGGTCCTTGCCATTCTTTTCATGGGGAAAAGGAACCCTAGCGGGCATTGTGATCTCTAAGAATTACATCGTTGTCTTTTCCCGGTTACCTACTACTATGGTGGTAGCCGAAATCACTGGGCGTGGTGTTGGTTTTGGAGGCAGCCCCTTGTCGGTTGGTTGCACGGGAAGGACGGAATGAAACCAACCATTTTGGAAGGATCCCAAAATTTAAGACAAATCAAATCCGTTTCAGCAACTAAAATAAATCAGCAACTACTCTTCAGAAACAGAAGCTGGACCGATTCAGAAACGACGCCTCCGGAGCTAAAAGATAGGTTGCCGTTCTACACCCTACCAGGGTATGTCTTGAAATGAGGGAACTTCAAAGAAAAGGAGGTTGGTGTCCCTTGAGTTTAACCACCTCGCAAAGGGGTGCCGTCAAAGAAGCTATGATCGACACGCCCACATTGGAACTAGCAAAAAAGACGCAGGACTGCCTGGATTCTGGCGCTGCTGCGGGTGGGCACGTTAGCGGTGCAGCTTGTGCTTGGGACCCGGACGGCATGATTTGCTTTGCCACTGGGGGGGGGGGGGTTGGGGCAAGGGGTGGGGGGGGGGAAGAGAGAAGAGTGGAAGGAGTAGGGGGCGGGGAAGGGGGCGGGGCGTAAAAAATCGCAATTTGTCAGTATAGGGGCGCATGTCTCGTTTACGGTTGGTGACTTTTTGTAGCTTTCCCAGACCTGCTTAGGTGTGACTAGTAAGGGTGGATCTGCCAAGGCAATTCTTCTTGTTGGGTTGGTGAAGTATCAGAGCTCACCCAGATGGGTTGCATGGGCCCCAGAACTGGAGTTCGGCTTTCCTGTTGGCTTCCCTAACCAAGCTGGAGAAGAGTGCCCTCGGACAAATGACCTGTTTGCTCTTATAGAGGCAGGCAGCCCCGGCCGGGAACCACCCTTTCAGCAACTAAAGGGGAGAATTATGATAACCTAGTATAGGGGAGAATGAGAATCACCTAGTATAGGCGTGACGGTCCACTGGTTTTATCAGCCTCCAACAAGGCGATTTGTTTGAAGGCTGCTGGGGTGTTCAGACAGTCAGCGACTGGGGTTGTGTCCATTCAACCCACCACGTCGCTTGGTTGGATAGTACAAACCTGTGGCGACTACGACTGCTTTGACACCCACGTGCCAAGCCCTAAGCGCTGTTAAGGCAGTCGTCGGGCGCTGCTAGGAGTTCGACACCGTTTCAACTTATAGCGGGCAATGATCCATGAAGGTGCTCTATTGTTGGGGATCAAGCCCCATATCTGATGCTTTTTCTGTTGGTTTCCCTTTCTAGGTCCCCAGCTTTCAAACTACAGAAAAGGGGATACCCTCTGCATCCACCTGCCATGGGCACAGAACCAAGCAGGCTGCTTGAAGGGGAAGCTGATTTAAGTGCCTAGACCCTCACCATTCCCTGAAAATATGGGTTATTGCCCAACATTTTTCGGGGGACTTCCCTTTTCCACGGGTACTTTGAGGTTCACAGGGGTTCCCATGATAAGTGCCCTACCGTAGGTGGACGAATGAATCAAACCCTTACAGTTGTAACGCGCCCCCTCGCCCGCCCCAATTTCAATGTTATTGCCCGGTTGGATCGGAATGGGTGGACGAATTAAATCAAACCCCGATGGCATTAAAAGCGCTTGTGTTCAGTGTAACATTGACATTGGGGGGTACGGGGGGGGTATGCGTCGCATCTGTTGGCGGTTTGATTATTTTGTCCATCTACTGTAGTGACGTAGCCCTTGGCCAATCTCCACGGAACCCTTTGCAGGTTGCAGGTTGCAGCTTGTTCCTGGACCCTTAAACTCCCAGGCAAAAGGGAATTCATGGGAATTCATCCATATTTTTTGGTGGCCACAACTATTTTCTAGGGGAATTTGAGGGTCCAGGTTCTCATAAGACTTTTAGCATGATCGAATTTGGAGGGATTTACGACATACCAGTTGTTGGTATTTACAATCAGCAGAAACCAGCGTTTCTGAACGGTGGTGTGAGAAGCGCATTTCGCAAGCATCCACAGCATCCCACAAGATTTTCCCAGCGCTCCTTATATTTCCCTTGTTGGTGGTGTTGAACATCACCTTTTGGCCCATTTTACATGAGTTTCCTTTGGTAAAAGTGGTTTTAAGGGGACATATAGGGAGCCCAGTGTGCGGGCTGGGTTCGCCTTTTTTGTCCCTTTTTGCCAGCCACACTTGGAAGGGCAGCCGTGAGGTGTGTGCTTCTGGGCGCCGGCAATGTCGCGGTGCTGTGCGCCGATTTCGGAGTCGGGGCTGAAACGTGGTGTTCGGGGTGTCGGTATCTCGCGCCGAAAGGAGGATCAGAGCTCGGAAATGGGCTTGGCTCGGTTCTGGAGTGGTTTGGAGTGACTCTTGGGCTAGGGTTCCGGAAGGGGTGCTGTTGGGGATATGACCTGGGCTTATTTGGAAAACCGTTTTGGAGGTAAACAAGATTTTGGACATGTTTGGGCAATCCACTCATGAAGTGAGAAATAGGGGAACCCTCATATGGTGAAATCCGATAAACCACCCCAAAATGAAAGAGGCATTCTCATCAACTGACATAGCCACATGATAGGTCTCCTTCTGGCTTCCCTTCAACCAACCAAAAGGGAAAACCGCAAACACCGGCTCAGTAGGGAATGACACAGCGTGTTGAGAATGAACTTATGGATTCCCTTAAAGGAAACCACAGGGGATGTTTTTGTCTTGGTCATTAGAACTCATCCCCTGCTGAGAACCAGCAAGAAAAAGTTCACTTCCGCTTCGGGGATACCACTTCGGGCCAAACATTCAAGCAGTAAGTCTCTGAAGCACCTGACTGGTCAATTGCGATCCTCGCAACAGTTTGGCCGCTCATGCATAGGCCAAATACATGCTAACTGCGTGCCAAACAAGGCCAGACAAGCCAAACAAGTACATAAATCAGTCTTGGGAGGGGGTGTCCTTGTAGAGGCAGCTTTTGTACGCTTTTTGTCCCTGAAAGATCCACGCCCCAGGCAGTTTCTTGCTAGGTACGTACTGCCGGTGCTTATGGCTGTCATCAACATGCTTACTCAGGCCGGGGGGGTGAACGGTTTGTCTCAAAGTGCCCGGCGTCCAAGTCCCTTGTCAGGACATCGGCTTCCAAACTTCCCTTGGCCGAATTTGGTTGGAGTACCTTCCAACTTCCTCTTGCCAGGTTGGAGCAAGATTGCCTCACACCTTGTGAGGACTGGTACTTGGACCCGTTTTGGCCGCTTCTGTACATCCTGAGAAGGTACCAACAAAAACAAGCCTTTGAGGTGGTGTTTCTTCAAAATTCGAAAAGGGTGCCAAAAAGACACGCGCGGAATATCGATGGCACAACTCCATGTTGGCAGAGAGGATGCCGAAACGAACAAATTGGAATGTTACCATCTTTTACCCTGAACCGTTTGGTTTTGAGTGGACTTTAAGCTTTTTCGGAAAGCTATTTTGTGGTCACCACAAAGTTTGGACCTTTTTGTTGGCCAATCCGCTCAGGAAGTGAGTACCCTTTTTGGCAGCGGAGTAACGTGCCCTTGAACCACACTTTCTTCAGAGCAATCTTTCGGGACACGTCCTTGTTGGTGTCCGAACTTAATGGCAGCGGAGAAATTGGTTCTTAAAGCACAAAACCACGGTATCTCACGATGAATTTGAGGAAGCCGTGCTCTTCCCGAGTCGAATGCCATTTGTTCCGTCCTGCCGATGGTATGGGGTTGGTCTTGCTTTGGATTCTCTTGAAAACCACCCAATGTATATCACCCCCATCTCCAGAGGATTTCAAGCGGTTCACCGTAGCCTTATGAGTTGATTTCAGAGCATTACCTTTGCCCTCTCCTGCGAAATTCTGATGGCACCCCTGCAATGTGCTGTGACACCTATCAGATGAACATAATCAGTCACAACAGCTTACCTCTAGATCAAGCAGTGGGTTGTTTGTTTCAGTTTGCTTGTTTGTCAGTTTGTTTGTTTGTTGATTTTGTTTGTTTGTTTGTTTGCCTGCCTGCCTGCCTGCCTGCCTGCCTGCTTGCTGGCTGGCTTGCTTGCTTGCTTGCTTGCTTGATTGCTTCTTACTGGCTTGCTGGATTGCTGGCTTGTCCGCTTGTTTGTTGGTTGGTTTGGTTTGGTTTGGTTTGATTTGGTTTTCTTGCGCTTGATTGCTGGTTGGTTTGGTTTGGGGTTGGTTTGATTTGCCTGCTTGCTTGATTGTTTCTTTGTTATTTTGTCTGTTTTTCTGTTTGTCGGTTTCTGTGTTTGTTTATTTCTTTGTTTGTCTGTTTGTTTCTTTGATTGCGTCCTTGTTTATGTGTTCGTTTGTTAGTTCGATAGTTTGTTAGTTCGTTTGTTTGTTTGTTTGCTAGTCTGCCGATTCGAGGGCAAAACTGAGCTTATGAATACAGTAAGGGTACCCCTTAATTTTAGATTTTGGCCTGAAATTAATCAGGGGACCCAGTTTCGCCGAGTCTTTGGAAGGTTTGGGTTCTCCAAAGGGTCCTTGGTACCTCCTGAGGATGGCTCAAAAGGGGGGTCAAACGGGGTTGTTCCATGCTTAGAAGGTTACTTGGGGACCCTCCGGGACACCAAGGGCTTGCCACTCAAACACCAAGAGGAAAATGAAGGCTTGCCGAATAGGAAACTGGGATCCACTGAGTATGGTATATCATGGAACACAACAACCCAGCAAACTTGCAGGTGCTCAGCAGGGAATGAGTTGGAATGAACCTGGGGATGGTGGTGTGATAGGCGGGGAAAGAGTTGGAATGAACCTGATTCCCGAAAAAATGGAAACCAGAGGGGCTGGTTTAAATCGGGGTCATGTCATTTCTCTTTTTCGACTGACCAGCAAGGAAAACCCTCCAACTCGTGGTTTCCTTTAAAGGAGTCCCCTTCCGGTTCATTCCCAAAACCTGGTCTCGGTCATTCCCTACCTATCATGACAGCAAGTTGGACAACCCCCGAAATGTTGGTCGAAGAACATGACTCCCAACTCTAGAACATGGTTTGGATGCGACTTTTGCGGATCCACCAACAGGGGCACGGGAATGTTCTGAATCCGACAGGTCGCTTTAGTGGCGAAGGCTTGGGGCCGCTCCCGGCTTTGGCGGTGCCTCCGCCGGACCGGAGCACCCAACGGTGGGCTGGCCGGTGTCTAACTTGGCCTTCGGTCGAACACACATGCACTGTGTTTCTCCCCGTTTTTTTGTTTCCCCCGTTTTTGTGTTTGTCGTATGTTGTTTGTTTGTGTGTAGCGGTTTGTTTGTGCTGTTTGGCTCTTTTGGGTGTTTGGTGGGTTTGCCCTTTTGTGCTGTTTGGTGGTTTGCTGTTTGGTGTTTGTTTGGTTCTTTTAGTCTTTCGTTGCCCTTTTGTTAGTCTGAGGTGTATGTTTAACTCTCGCGTGATACAACCAAGCAGCGTCAATGTTCCCTGTGCGCGAGCTCAGCGGAAGGGGAAGCAAGTAGGCAGGAGGCACGCCAAGCTGGCCAGGCTGGCCATGGCCACATGGATTCGGCAAATTCACCGGAGGTCCCGTTCGAATCTTCGAGGCCTTGAAGTCTGTTGCCTTGTGAAGCATGTGGGGGACTTCCGAAAGTGGTGAGAAAGGTGTCAGGCTTCTGGGTCTGGCTTTGCCGTTGGACATCTACTTGAAGCTTCAAGAGTTTATACGAGGCTGTTTTGGGCTTGCCGTTTTTTCCAAAACAGAGAGTCAAAAGGCAACCCCTGACTGGGCCCAGTGGATCCGCCTAGAGCTCCTGATGGATCTTGGGGCTCCCAAATCACGTGGTATGGGGATCTTTGGGTGCTGCGTACCAAGCCTCAGGACTGTGAGGATTTTCGGAATCAGTGAGTGGTTCTTCCTCATATTCTTCCATTTGCTGAAGAATATATATTTTTTATTTTTTTTTATTATTATTTTGCCCTGTTTTAACGGGAATCTATCACAATCGGATTTATTTTTTCCAGGGGGGCTTAACCAATGGATGTTTTTGTTAGTCAGCCTATATACCCCCAATTGGTGGTTTGGATTGGCTTGGGGGTGGGGAACCTTCCCCATGTTTCAAAGGAGTTGGGGGGTCTAAACTCCCAAAGCTCAAGCCAAAACGGAAATGAAGGGTTGCCCGCTTCTAAGAGAGGGGTTCCAACCGCCAAAGGACAATCAAGTGCATTTGTTGGAATTGTATTTAGGTTCTTTTGAAGGTTTGACTTTGCCACCTTTGGATGTCCAATACGTCAGCTTGGTCAATGATGCAAAATGTACAGTTCTTTTTTTCAGTTGTTTGTCTTGCTCACCTGCCAAGGATTGGAGGTCAACCCCTTCTTCGCTGGAATTCAACCCCCTTTCCTGCCTCAATTCAGCATTGCTCCGAGGCCGCAAGACCTCTTCCACAGCTTCACCTTGGCATTGAAGCTCCACATGGACATGGCCAGTCGGTGGTTCATTCGCTGGGCGATTTGCATTGGATTTCCCGAAATTACGCTGCCGGACTTCCAGTTCCGCTGCCAGTTAGCCTAGAGGTGAAAGACATGCACCTAGGGGCACGATCAATAGCAACCGTATTTGTTTTAGTTTGCCAAAAAGGACATCGAACGGATATGGGTAATTGTTTGCGTTTTCTAGCCCACCTTCAATATCATTTGGTTATATAATACGTGTCATTCGTTTGACACACAGGAACTTTGCCAGACTTCACTCGCCATGTTTGCCAGGCTTCCGAGTGCTTCCCTTTCTTTGTTTCGCCACTATGGTACCAGTGGATCCAACCTGTTTAGTAGGTAACCAGAGAACCACCCTTTGAAAAAAAATAAAATAAAAAGTAGATAAATACATATATATATATATAAGGACCACCCTTAAAAACAAAAAAAAACATACAAGGAAAATGAACAGTTGCCTACTATACTATACGGGCAACCTGGCTTCACTGGGGTAGGCAACCCTTCAGTATTTTTACCTCTAGGTGTTACTTCTGATGGTTTCACCTGCTTGCCTGTGGCGAAACGTCAAAGGGAAGCACTGGGCTTATCTCGCCATTGCTCTTGTGTGCTAAAAGGGTTCATCTTACTTTGTGCCCAGCGTGGAGTCGCATGACGCTCAAAAAATGGGGTCATCACCCATTGTTTCCATTTATTCAAGGGCAGTACCCCTATTTCGAGACAAAGCCAGAAGATTGAAAATGAAACGGAGCGGGGATTTCGACGAGACCTCCAAGAGTTTTCATTGTGTGCAGACTAGCAAGCTGAAATTGGGGGGAGTCCTGACCACGCTCCCTCCCTGCGAAAAGACGCGATGTGGAACTGGCTGTGGCTCAAACACTGGGACCCACAATGACATGGGAATGGAACCAACGACCAATGGTACCTTTTGCTCTCCCCTTGTTCTCTTTTTGCTTCACCAAATGGCCAACCCCCAAAACAGATGTCTTTATCTATCCGGGTCATTGAACAACTGGGTTGCACATTCCAGAAATGTGGCTGAGCCTGGTTGCTGCCTCGCCATGTTGAATTCAGGGTGCCCGTGCGTGTGCTGAAACATACTCGCTACCCTTGTAGTGGGTAACCTCCGCTTAAAGGGTGGTTATATAGGTAAATTGATCCGGTCTATAGCAAAAAGACTGCGACTGACTTTAGGGGGTCCTACCAGCATCCCCACCACTGCATGCTGGACACGGGATTTGGGACAGGACAAAATAGCTTGGTGGTATACCTCGAAAAGTCCATTTGGGTGCGGGTCAAAAACCGGTACCAAATGGAGCCCTGGTAAGTGGAAACGTGGAGCCTGCGTAACCCCTCCTCTTTAATTTTGAGCCACACCCATTTGGGGGTACCTATTTTTGACCACATGCCAGGCGATCCCCTGGCTGGCCAGAAGCCACCACTCAGAGCCCCTCGGCGCCAAAAAAAACCTCGCTCGCGTGTCGGGTGGACGCGGGCGGATCGGTGCGAAACGTGGCGCTCGCCGTCGTGTTGGTCGAAGACTTTGAACTTCCAGGTCCACGGCTGATATTCCGCCGCGTGTCAAAAAGCCTTTTTTTTGGAATCAAAGGCCTCATGCGGCCATAGCCTCGGTAGGACTTACAGATACAGTCATTTGGCCACGTCAAAGCGTCATTTCCAGGGGGAAGCTGCTTGCAAGCCTAACTCCATTGTCGCTGCCGCTGAACACATTCATTCTCCACATCCCGACTTTTCATAGTAAGGATTCTAACTCTTGCAAGAATCCGTGTGGGGACTTCTTGTTGGAAGGCAAATCCTCCCGCCAAGCCCACATGAAATGCATTCTGAGAGCCACGGATGGAGTTGGAAGGGTAACTAAGGTCTGCCCCGGTCGCTCCGCCGCCCCCAACAACATGACGTGCACACACCAAGACTCTCCCCTCTTCAAGAAGCGCTTCTAAACTCTGTTCATGGCATCTGGGGCTTTGGTTTTTGCAAGTGTTGCCTAATTTTTGCAAGCTGTTTTTTTTTTTAAGCATGGGGGGGCAAGGGCCAGCAAAAGGAACCTGGCCAGGCTAGCGCGTGAGATCGCGTGGCGCTTGGCGCGTGGCACGTGGCGCGTTGCGCCCCACAAGCAACTTCCGACCCTTTGGTTGTCATGTTCCATTCGGACTCAGGCAAGGCAACGGTGTACATTAGCACCATTGGATTGCCAAGCCTCGTAGTGCTGCTTATTTGCAGGCAGCGTGTGACATCCATCATCCGTCCCAGACATGCCCCCAGGCTGCCACTCAACAGACCCATTGAATCCCCAATGATGTTCCTGTACTTTCACCCACTTCGTTTCACAACGGCGTGACAAAACCCCTTTTGACATCTTGGGTTTGCATTGTCGCGGCCATTAGGAGGTTTTTGTTTTGTTTCACAAGGCTCCTGGAAGCAGCGTCCCGTGGTTTTCCTTGGTCCTTGGTCCTGGGCTAGACCAAGGACCAAGGACCTGCTTTAACTCGCAGACCCGCCAGCCAATGCCAGCGGCAAAGCAGCCGCGCGCGCTCGAATCTGCCTAGGCAACGCGTGCGTGCAGAACAGCGCGACCAAGTCAGAGTCAGTCATGCCTCTTGCTGTAGAGATTGCGGAAGCCGTGCACAGCAAGATTGGATTCGTCATATGGAATGCCCTTGTTTGATACGCACGTGCTGCAGCTCGCATCTGCCAAACACCACCCTTGTCCTTCAGTTCTTTTTGGCCCAGGCTTTGAAGGACCAAGGACCTGACCCCACCCCTCAAGATTGCTTCCCCCGAGTTGGCCTGCCAGACTGGTGGGGCATCCATGCATTTAATTGAGAACTCAGGGGTCCAAACTTGCGACAAAATGGCAAGCGAACTCCAGGTCCAAGCTGCAAGCTTGAGAGTACCGCCTATGGGGCATGTGACCTGTGCACGACGCTGCGATCTGAGATGTTACGACGTAAATTGAGAAGCCAAGGTTTGCTCAGCATCTCCTGCTGGCAAGCAGTGCCTGCTGCAGCCTTGCGCGAATGCGTGTTGTGGCGCGCCTATGTACAAGCCGAAGGCCCCAAAACATAAGCCCCAGTTGCAAAACCCAAAGCCCCAGATACCATGAACATAGTTTTTCTGCAGCATGTAAATCCTCAGTCACAAGCATCAAAAAAGACAAGGAAACTATTGAGGATATTGATGATAAACATGAATGGGTTATACAAATTAGTAATCAAGTAATTAAAAATACTCAAAATGATGATGAACAGGGAAAATAATCAACCAAGTAAAATCGATAGCAATAACAAACAGTAATTGATAATAAATCAACTGCTTTTGGTATGTTCATGACCTTGGTTGACTTGATTAGCTAACAGCATATAAGGAACTGCCGAACCTCTTGCTTGACTTAGTAAAGATCTTGAGGTTATCGGTTTGGGGGGCCCTTATTGTTCAACAGGGTTTTGTGGCCGCAGGAAGGTCCTCCACGGCGCTATCATGTGGAGTTCCGGCTGGAAGGTCGTGGCGACCCGAAAGCCTGACTTCAAGAACTGGCTAGCCTGCTGGGGGTAAGGTGCCGTTCGACGCCGTCATGGCCATGCACCTTTGGAGCCGCACGGCCTCCTTGGAGCAGCTCGACACAGCTCTCCAAGCCTTCAAGGCCGCGGTCCGCGGGAGGAACAGCGGCTCCCTCGCGCAGGACAGTTTTTGTCCACCCAAGCGGCGTGGCAACCGCGTTGCAAACCTTGTAAGGATCCAGGGCCACGCCAATACACAACAAACAATCCAAATAACTCACCGCTACGCCCAAAACCCCAGCGCGGCTGCTGCGGCTGTTGCCGCTGTCGGTGCTGCTGCCACTGCTGCTGCTGCTGCTGCTGCCGGCGGCGCTGCAGGGGGAGCGACTCCAGCAGCTTTGGGCGCCGCAGCGAGGATAGCCGCAGGAGCCGCGGGAGCACCTAAACCCAAACAACTCCGCTAAGCGCAGGACGGCGCTTCGAGCGGAAGAAGTGGCAGCGCGGAACGCAGGCCCGCTACATTGTGATTTTCAGCTCCCGACTCGCTCGCTGAAACCCAGCCTTTTGATCTTTGATTTTGTGAGTTTGTCCACTCACAGAGTCCAGCCCCAAAGGGTTTTTACCTTCTGGCTGGCTCGAAACAAGCGAGCGCAGTGAAGAAGAAGAAGCTGCCCACTGTTGGGGGCGTGAGGTACTGCCTCGCCAATTTGATGGAAGAGTGAGCGAGGTTTTTGCTTGTTTCACAGAGGTTTTCGGCTGACCTCAGCGGCGCTTGGCCGGGCCAGCCTCAGGATCACATAAAGGCGTTCGCCAAAACTGAAATAGATTAGGACGGACATTTTTCAGGATTTTTCATTCGTTCAGGATTTTTGGTTTCGCGGGTGGGTGGCTTTTTGGTTTTTTGGCTTTTTTCGTGGGTTTATGTGGCTTGTGGTGTGGCTTTGCATTTCGCATCCTCTGCATTCACAGTTCCTTTCTGGCAGGTGCTTGTTGGCTTTTGCGGCTTTTTGTTAAATTTATGCGGTTTTTGCGGCTTTGGCTTTTCGCATCCTCTGCGTTACCAGTTCCTCTCCGGCAGGTGGCTTTTTGGCTTTGCGGCTTTTGGTGGCTTTTCTGCCTTCGGCTCTGCTTCCCCACTTATTTTTGGCCTTGGCTTCCCGCATCCTCAGCATCGCCAGTTCCTCTCTGGTCTTTCTGCGTTTGTTTGCGCAGTTTAACCACCCAATTGAATCATCACTTGTTCGATCATCACAAGGAACTACTCGATAAAGGAGCGCACAGCAGTAATTGAATGATTGCAACAGCCACAGCATGGCTGGGACCAAGAAGCAAGCCAGAATGCCATCTCTCGCAGTATCCCGTTAATGCAGTAGGTGAGTCACCGCAGCAAGAGGCAAAAGGACTTGGCTCTGCAAGCTCCTGACGCGGGACATATTTCAAAAAACGACCAGCCTCACCCTTCCAAAAAAAACAGCCAGCCCACCCTCAAAAGCGCAACCAGCTGGGGCGCAGGAAGCCGCTCTCCAGACATCAGGCGCTCCTTCCAAAGATGGCTGGTGAGTCTCCAAATCCGCGGATGGCATGGTGAGTCTCAAGGGCGCACAGGAACCCGTCAATCACTGTGCCCGGACTGGCCGGGGTCTGCTTTGGGGATCAACAAAGTTTACTGCGCCGTGAGGCTGTTTGGGGGGTATCGAACTTTCTACTCCGCAGTGTCAGTCCTGGCAGCCGAAGCCACAGATCGGGCTGGTCGGCGATGCCGAGCGCGGCTGCCGTGATGCTTGCGTCTGCTGCCGAGCGAAACCTCGCGGAGCGGCACAGACCGACGCGCCGGAAAACGATCCAGCAAAGTTAGACACACACACACACACGAACGAACAAAAGCACAAGCCACGCTGAGGATGAAAGCAGAACGCTTTTGAAGCCCAAGGTGTAGGGGGAGTCAGCTGATCGAGCAGGGCAAACAACGCCCGCGCCATAGCTGCCGATGTAGCTTCTCAGTCGACGAGGTGTATAGGGCTCTCAGCAGCCTCTAAAACGAACACAAGAAGGAACAGAGAAAGGCCCGCCAAAACATGCGCGCCCGCCAAACCATAAAACATCAACAGCTGACGAGGCTCCCGTGGCCGAGATGGTGACGAAGTGCCAGGAGCAGTAGCGCTGGCGGCCATGGCAAGATCCGGTGCCCACGAAGCAGGCAGCAAGCGAAAACCACGTGCAGACAGGAAGCAAGCGTAGCCAAGCGACAAGGTGCAAAGTCCACTCGCCTACTGAAAAACCAAGCAGCACACCGACCAAAGCAAGGGCAAGCAAGGCCCGAGACAGTCAAACACCAAAGGAAACCTATCAGGGAGCGTGACTCGTCAAAGAGAGAGTCCAGATAGGTTGGACAAACCTCAAAGATCGAGCCAGCGCAACGCAGAACCAAGATCAGACCTAAAGCCAGACGAGCATCATCGGAGCTCAGAACAGAGCAAGAGTGCTGTTCGCGCAACCCGTACGTTATAGTTGCCCACTGAGGACTCAGGACTCGGCCTTGGGTTGGGCTTACTTCTTGAGTTCCTGCCTGGACTTTAGTCACGTTTTGGGTTTGGACCATTTTTGTGGCAAACAACACGTTTGCTTACCTTTTCTGACCATTCCACTCGAAGGGCGCCTTCTTCTCCCAACTTATGTTGGTTTTAGTTGGTACCACTTTGTCGGTTGAAAGAGAAGCCTTGCACATGGCTCATTTCTGGTGTTCCCTATATTGAGACACACCTACGTGGATGTGTCTTGGTTAACTTCACCCGTTGGTTTTTTCTCGCGTTTCAAGGAAACCGAAAAAAGTTGAAGGCCAACCATCTTTGGGGGTCCTTCAACCTATTTTGAGACACCCCCATAGTCCCCGCCCCCTACGGTTGCGAAGCAAATTTGGTTTCCAAGTACTGATGTGTAACCATCCATTTGCTTTGAACCGCCCAACTTAATTGGGTGATGTTTGTTTTTGTTCTTGACGCCTCCTACTGGCAGGGGCAGGGTCTTAGCTTAGTATCCGTATCCATGCTCATAACCCTCTTGCCCGACTTATAACCGAGGTTACTAGCCGCTTCTTCAAGTAGCAAACATGGTTCTAAATCAGCCAATCCTTGCCACGCTCACCATGGTTTAAACCACGTGCTGAGTAGGCTGAGCATCCCAGCATGCCAGAACACGGTGCGTTTGACATCTCACATGAACTTGTACACGGGACCCCGTCCCTCATTTTGCGAAGGGTTGAACATCCAAGCATTCTCCTATTCTCAGTAAAGAAACAACCGTAGTGTAGGGAATGAGACTATAGGGGTCTCCTTGCAAGGAAACCACAAGTTTGATGGTTCACATGGGTCATTCCCCCGACATGAATGCCTACCGAACCACCCCACATTTTGGGAGGGTTCACCTTTTTCCTTTGCGGGGCGGAGGGTGCCGGAACGGACGTTCCCACGACACCCTTTGGCGTCGCTGCGTCCAAGGCTTTGGCGCGCCATTGCAGTGATGGTGACGCTGGAAATGCTGGTGCAGGCGGATGGGTGTTGCGAATCACATGAGTCACCCTCAATACCTGCTCTTATGGTACGTTATATGAAGACTTATATGACAAATTGATTTTGGAAACTGCCTACTTGTTTTGAGTTGACAACCTTCGCAACTGGGGGTGGATGAAAAGGTCTCTACATGGAGCAACAAAATTAGGGAATCCACCAAACAAATGTTACCCATGGTCTGGTCATTCTGGGGCCGAACTTAGTATTCATCAACCCCCACATGAGCCACAATCAAATCCGGGTAGATGAAGGTTAGTAACAATCCCACGCACAAATGGATGCAGCTGCCTTTTTGTTTAATCCTTTACATGGTTCTGGGTAGACCGTTTTATTTCCTGGTTTTGATTGTGACTCACATGCCGAGCGAAGGGCGAGCGTTTTTGGGCGGTGCGTAGTTTTGCTTTCGTTGCACAGAACATTGAACGAATTGAATGAGCGTGTCCCAGGAGAAAAGTTAAGTTTTTTGTGTTGGGCGGGAAAGGGGGGGTCATGTTGATTTGAAGTGCTGTGGTTTCATTGAAGTTGCACGGTGACTAAAAAACAATTATTTGCTGTGGAAAACCTTCTTGTTCAAAATGCACCCTCACAGTGAAACTGCCGCATCTCCCCCCCCTCCCCGTGAAGTGACCTCGGGTCTTTGGGGGAGGGGGATGAAGGTAGGTATCCATTGAGAGCTGCCGGTCTGCGTTTGGTTCCGAGATGCCCTTGCTAAATTTGCAGGGTGCCCAGTGTTTTCAACCTTGGATGCGTTCCCGTTCAAAACGAGTGTCCGTTTTCCCTGGGCTCATCAACGACGCCAGGATTTCTTGGTGTCGCATGGCACACCACCCGTTGGGGGAGGGCGTGGGGGTCCACTGTTTAGCTGCACGGTTCTTGGCGTGGGTGTGTCGTTTTTAGGGACCCTCCACACAATGGTGGTTGTCCTTTTGGTTTCCCTTTAAAACCAAGCAACATGGGCACCCTCAAAGAAAGACAGACCCATGATTTGTTTCAGTTTGTAGGCATTTTGGCTATGACAATGCCAAGGAATGGACGTTTCCTTGGTTTCCCTGAGTTTCCCTTCCCCGGTCGTAGGATTTTCGTCGCACGGGGCTGAACGAGGCATGCGGCTTTCGGCTTCGCTGGGTTCCGTGGGCTGTTTTGAGCCCATGGTGGCTCGTCTTTTGCAGGTCCTATTTTTGGTCGGGACATCAACGGTAAACCACTCCTTGGTCTTCCAAGGGCTGGCAACAACAGAGTCCTTCTTGACTTTGCTCTTGGCTGCAAAAGGAACATCAGCCAAAGGCCTGCTTTTTCATGGTCCTGGAAGCCTGGAAGATCAAGGACTGTTTTTTTTGGGCGGGGTCCTTGGGACTGTTCTGTTTGGGGCGGGGTCCCGCGTTAGGCAAACCTATTTCGGTAAGACGAAGCCAAGTTTTCCTCGTTGAGGTGATCATCCCCACCTTCAGCGTGCTGAACGGCCTGCGCCCGGGCCGGCGACGCATGCCGGCCCAGGCGGGGGGAGTTCTTGGTTTTCCCTTCCCAAACCTTCTGAAACACCGGCGAAACTGGCTGATTGGCGGAAAGACCCCGGTTTTCCCTTTTAGATGGCCTTTGGTCGGCGGGTGAAATGAGGTTGTAGACTTCCTGTTGTTTTGCAGGGTGTGTGGTTTTTGCGGTTAAGATCAACCAACAAAATGGAGTTAGGTAAAATTACGACGTTTTTCTTGTTTGGAGGGAGGTCCGTATAAGACCAACCAATCCCCCAGAAGCGATGGGTTATGATGGGCTCAGTTCCCCCCTCTTGGGAACGGCGTTTATCGGAAAATGTCCAGGGAGCATTGGTGTGTATGACCAAAGGATCCATCCCACACTTCGAGTTGCTTCTTCAGTGTCTAGTTTACCTCTTCCCACCTAGCTGTCGCTTGGAAACTGCGTTTTTTGATTTGTTGCTGAGCGCTGCTGGCTGGAAAACAAGGGGTTCTGCGTCCAGGGTTTTTGGCAGTGTACCGTCGGGATCATGCGTCGCAAAGTGGGGGTACATCCATCGTTAACCACTTCGCCAGCCCCTTTGCTTTGTCCTTAAAATTGTGCTCTTTGCGCGAACAAAGGCAGACAAAAGCTCCGCAGCTAAAAAAGGGGGGAAAACACCTTAAGTGTTTTTTGATGGATGGTTTCCCCTTATTATTGTGGCTTCTGTTTGATGGATGATTCGCCCTGAGCTTTTCGTGGCTTCCCTCCAAAAAGCCCACCGGAGGTCTCTCACGTCCTTCCGACGCCGGCCGGAGGCGCTGTGGCGCTCGGGGCTGCTGAACCCACGGCCTCGGTGCCCGGAGAGCCTGGAGACGCTGGAGGTGGATGCCCTTTGGCCCAGCTGTCTTTCCCCATCGGTTTTTTTTTTTCGGTTTTTCCTCACCGTTTTGGCCCTATGAAGGCCCAGAGGGGGTGGGGTCCCCATCGTTTTGTTTTTCCGGTTTTTCCCCACGGTTTTGGCCCGATGGTTTTGTCGCTTGCCCTACGGTTTCTGAAGAATCCACATGTCCCAGATTGTTAGAATGTGTGGGATCTTCGGTGTGGCCGACTTGCCCCTGTTGCGACCTTTTCATGGATGTTGTTTTTTGCTTATTGTGGGTTAGTGGTTGAATTCCAAAGCCGCTTAACTGCTAAAATTTGAAGATTTTTGCTCCCCTTCCAACGCCAACCAAGATCGGTTTTCCCCGAGTTGTGCCCAGTTGAAGGTATCCAGAGGGAAAGTCTTGGTGCGATGGGTACGTAGGGAATGTGGCCGTAGATGAAGCCACCTTTTCTGATGAACCAGTTGGATGGTTCCTAAGGGTCCTCATTCCTTGAAATCTGTTTTTCCGGGTTTCCCGAAGTTTTCTCTGGAAGGATCCCCAGAAAGACTGGTTGCAACCGTTGGAAGGTAGCTGTCGAACTTACTTGGCCTGAGACGGTATGCATAGGGCAATCTTGCGATCAGTGCGATAGGCAATGTGGCCTAGGAGGAAACCAGTTGGATGGATAAGGGTCCTCAAATCTTCCATGTCCAGTGCAGGGAAAGCGGCCTGAAGAAATAAAAAACACCAGTGGGATGCTTTCGAGGGTCATTCCCGTAGGGAATGTGGCCTTACAGGAAACCACCTTTTCTGATGGTTCACAAGGGTCCTCATTCCTTGCACCAGTAATGACGTGGGGGCAGGGGGGGTGAGCCTGGAGATCTCCATTGTCAACCCGTTTATTCTATGGGGAATCCGGGAATGGATTTGGGGTGGGGGGGATTTCAGCCCCTGCTTTATGGTCAGTTGGTAACGGAAGGTATCCCCCTGAAAAATGGAACTGGAACAGGCCCAGAGGGTCCCTTGGTACTCCATGTGTTTGTGGTGTTGGATATTTGTTCATGAGGGAATTCGGGGAAACATATGTTTGCTTAAGAATATGTACATATATATATATATGATTTTCCCATGTTGGTTTTCAGTGAACCTATCACTGTTGGGCACATTTTGTTGCTTTTCCCAAAGGAAATTAAGCTAGCTAGTGGAGGTAATGGAATCGGGGTAGGGGGATTTCGACCCCTGCTTTAATGGCTAGTTGGTAGTGGATCTTTGGACTTGAGCTTTTTGGTTGAAGCTGGTCTGATGCGAATTGGACCCACACAATGAACTTTGTGCAGAGGGGTCAATAGTGGGTAGGGAGCGTGCCACCGCCCTTGCCCGGCAAAGTAGCTTCCATGTGCTTCAGAATATGTGTTGATTTTCCCCTTCCCTTCTGGATGGCACCCATTTGCTGAAATAAATAGGATGACATTTTTCCTCATTTGGTTCTCAAGCGAGTCTATCACTACGGGATTTTATATATATTTTTCCCAGGGTCCCAGGGGACAAATCAAGTGGAGGGTAAGGTCGTACAAAGCACCGCACGAAGGCAGTCTGTTGTAAGTGGGTTACACGTGGCCACCGTGCTTAGGCACCCTTTATTTGGGTTCAAAATAGGAGTTGTCCATTTGGTGTCCATTTGGATTTCCTGTTGGTTGTTGAAAACCAACCTGCCAACCGTACCCTCCAAAAAAGACAGACTCATGCTGATCGCTATAAATTGCAGTAATCAGGGAGCCAAGGGGTGTGACAAGTGCACTTGAAGTTGGTGACAGGGGCGAGGGGTCAAATGAGAGCACCCCTGCAAGGCATGTCTTGTTTTTTTGGATGTTACCCTTGTTTTTTTTGGGGGGGGGCGGGGAGCTGAAAGGGGGACACCAAAATCCATGGTCCAGGCCCCTGAACAAAAAAAATACTCAGGGCTTCAAGCCACTATCAAAGGTTGTACCAGCAGACCCCCGAACATACCCCTTCAAGGCTAAGGCAAACAAAATCAGAGTAAGCAAAGCCCTAAACTAAATACGGGCTTGTCGCCGTCATACTTCCTTTTGGGGTTTGGTCGCTCACCGGTCAGTGGGGGGAGGTCTTTGAAACCGGACGTCCGAGGTCAAGGATGAGAAAGTGCAGGGGGTGATGGAGGCCGATAGTTCAACGCCTGAGGATTTCTCATTCGATCCCCCCTCCAGCTGTCCAGATAGAGAAGATAGGAGTTTGTCTCACTCTTGACTTTATACTGTTTGGGAAGACATATGGTAGTGCAAAACAACAACTTCAGCCTTTTTTTGGGCCGATCCGCTCAGGAGGTGAGGACAGGAGGTTGTTTTGACTAGTCAAATTGGGTTGAGGGATGCTGATCCGGCTGCTCAAGGAATTCCAACAATGCTGGTTTACACATGTGGGTGTGTCTTTCTTACGGGACCGAAACAATTGGCGATTTTCTTTTTAGTTTCATTGTAACACCACACAGAAAGGGTTCCCTCAAAAGTGACAGACGCATGTGTAAATTAAGGGGTTGGGTCCCCCAGGTAGGGTCTATGGGAAAAGGGTCGGATGTTCTGAACTGGGGCAATGAGTTTCCCATTCATTTGCACGAAAGCCGTGTGTTTTTGGATGTCAGAATGCACCCATCCCGTTTTAGCAATTAGGATCCCGAAGTGGAATGACCGGCTAGAGAAAGGAGCTTGCACACATTCGGACTGGGGTCCCTTTGTCCAGAAAAGTGGTCGAAAGGAAAGCCTGAAGACACCCATGTTCACCCGATGCGCTCGCCCAAGTGACATGGCCTATTCGGGCCGTGTCGTTGCCCCATTTCCTCAATAGCGCGGTGCTTCCAGTTACCACTATGTAGTAGGCAACCAGGGGAAGCCATCATGTAAAACCTAGCGGTAAGGAACCCTGGCTACTATATTGGGAACTGAAAGCACTGGGTAGACTATGCCCAACATATAATACGGGATGTTTTTCCTCACCAGCCCTAAGCCACGTGTCAAAGCCATCAGCCGTACCCGGGAGAACAAATATTTTCTGAGCCCATTTCGACCATCCAGGATTCTCGCACATCACACCCAGTGGATCCATTTACCTGTACAGTAGGTAAGCGAGATCCAAAAGAATCCATTGTTTCCGTGTGGGTATGCCCCACCCCTGGAAGGCCAAAACTCAACATGGCCTTACCATAAGAGGCGAAAAACGTCGATCGGGATCTGGGAATGGCCAGCCTACGATCAGAGATTCAGAGAGGGCGGGCGTCGAATTGCAGTCTGCGAGTCCTTTGGGTGGTTCAATCGGGGCGTTTTCACTCTCCGGACCCTTTTCTTTGGTGCATTTTGCCAAGGGATGTTAGGAGTTTATAACTTTTTGCCAACGAATTTGGGTTTTCCGAACAACCACTAAAAGTTGAAAACTTTTAGCAGGGGAGCAGAAAGCAACCGAGGTTCTTGCGTTCTGAAAGCGAAGTTTTTCAAGCGAGGCCCCAATAAACCTTGTCGGATTTAGGTGGCTTCTCAACACATCTGTTGAAGAAGATGCAAGAGGATCAACTTTTTTAGGAGGCTGTTTGTTTGTCTACCTGGACTGGGAAGTACCAATACAACAGGGAATTCACCTGAGGGCTTGCTACTTCCTCAGGTACTTCAACCCCCCAATACAAGAGCCCAGTTGGAATGTCGTTGTGGGGCACTTTAAAGCCAACATATATATATATATATACATATGTTCATGATTATAGTGGCAACTAAAAAAACAGCCATCCATGACAAACAAATCCGAAGGGTTACCTGCTAGGGTGGCGATGCGTGCCAGGAGCTGTCTCCCAAGCGCCGGGGCTCGGTGCAGTGGGGGGCACCCAGACGTTAGTCGCTTTTTGGCTCTGGACCGCTTTTAGCCCCAAGCGTTTTCGGGTACCTCCTGCTGGTTTTGGGGAGGCTGAAAGGGGTCGTTCAGTACAGGTTTAGGTACTATGGGACCCTCTGGGTTGTTCGGAAACTTTTGTTTGACTTGGTGGCCATTCCACTCGAAGTGAGATGGCCCACATGGGGCTTGCCGGCTTGCCTTTTTGTCCTGCTTTGTTTTTAGATGTGTTCCAACATTCCCTTTCAACCAGCAACTTTTTGCCGGGTGTCCGGTCAAGTCTATCGCGAGCAACTCTTACTTGGACACCGTGAGCTCCCATGCACTTAGAACCTATTGTTTACACATAGCTTCTAAGCAAGAGTCGGTCGCAAGACTGGTTGATGTTTCTAGTTGGTGAATATCCCGTTGGTCCCCTTGGATACTAATCGCAGATGGAATCGCCATGAATTCTGAATGCTATGCCAAAAACGTTTTCCAGAGCATCCCAGCTACCCTATAATGGGTAGCCAGTCATTTTGCTTTTGGTGTTTCAAGGGTGGCTCGCTTGGTTACCAGCTACACAGATTTGTGTTCCACTGCGTACAGTTTGCAAGATGTGTTGTGTGTTTCGGTTCTTCAGTGGCACCGGCTTCCACACTAGAGCATGGTCAACCCCAAAAGGGTTCCCTCTCTGTAGAATTTACGAGTGAACGTACATACACCTTCTTCATCCTTTGTTCTGCCCGTTGTACAAGTGGTGCATAATCTCCATATCTCAAAAGCCTATCCCTGGAAAGTCCCTCGAATGTAAAATCTAAGATGGCATCAACTACCCCCAAACCACTACCTACAGGGGAGATTGCGGTATATACTCTTTATGTAGTGGCCATATGGTGGCTGTATGCTATTCACCCCCTGGATTAAGGTGAAAGAAGGTGACCTGGTGGCTGGGGTGCACTCAGGTCTCTTTGCAGCATCCTCACTGACCCGAAGACTGGCAGCGAAATGGCCTGGCGCACCCAGTGGATTTCTCCGTTTCGGAATCCGTCCCTCAGATGCTCCGGGACACCCTCTCAATTCTTCCTTGCTTTCGCTGTGCTCACAAACCCAGAGGGTCCAAGTACCTTCTGAGGATCCTTTTGACCCTCCAAAAGCCATCCTCAGAAGGTCCTTGGACCTTGCGGGAAAAAGAAGAAAGACGTGGGGGCGCTCGGCCAAGCGAGTAAGCTGTTGGTAGCCTAGGTCATCACCCAGTTTTGAGTCCCACGTTCAGTGGGGTTGACCTTGTTATTAGGGGGTGAAGCAACCCAAGTGGCGAACCACTTACGAACATGGGTGAATCGAACATCCAAGCGTCCCAAGATTTTCCCCTTGTGGCTCTCAACCAAAAACCCTTTGAGCCCGTTTGAATTTCGTTTCCTTGGATTTATAGGGAACCCTGACACATCCGCCAATTCAACACGGAAAGGGTTCCCTTTGGTTGCCAGGGTCAGACCGGGCACGTGTGTCTATTTTTGTATACTTCCAACTTGTTGCACCGCGCATGTTGGTTTTTCATGGACCCCTGGGGGTGGATATGGGAGGGTTCTATCTCTGGGTAAGGATCAGCCCTGAAGAAGGTTTCTATCAAGGTGTTAACAAGGGACAACCCGTTATCCCTCCCCATGACCCCCCTTAGGGGTCCAAGAGTTTCAGAATTTTGGCAGCTTGGATCTTTTCTGTAATGAATTTGCGTTTTGAGGTTCGCTAAATATGCACCGTAGTCGAACATAGGGGCTATGAAGTTCAATTGGACGTCGATCATAGGGGCTATGGAGTTCAATTAAACACAGTGTCAAAGATGGTTGGCGGACATACATCCCCACCTAAATGATGTCCACTCAAGGGTCCCCGAATAGAACTCATAGCCATAAGAGCCATGGTTGAAATTCCCCTTTACTTTGGTTACTAGGGATGGTATTGGACGATTTGTAGAGCCTTAGACCACCATAAGGGTTCCAAGTAACGATGGCTCCTATTGTGTTTGGTTGTGGGCAAAAAGAGTTGGTAATTGGATCAATGGCTTTGGGGATCCCGGTTACATTTCGCCGCATTCGGAAATCGAGTGGATTTTCCCGGCGGGTTTCGAGGTTCTCCACGTGCTTCACCGTCCTTTATGTGGGGATCCAGTTCTGATTTCAGGTTTTCGATGTGTAAACAATGCATGGTTTTGTCTCAATATAGGGTACCCTCGTTTTCCTTCGGTTTCCCTTTAGAGGCTATCCTGAAAACAGACGTCCAAGTGGATGGACCATGGCAGAAGCGTTTTCCCGCATGGGTGCTGGAGGCATGGAGGTTAGACAGACTACCTCTCTTTGCGGTGTTTCTTGTTCAAGGTTTTTCTTCATGGTGCCAGGTCCCATGCCTCCAAGTGGAGATTTTGTGGATTGAGAAATTCTTGCAACAATTTGGATGGACACCCTGTGACCAAGGGGTTAAGCCATGCACAGCGATGAGGAGCAATTGTTGCTCCACCCTCTTGCGGGTGTCCCAGCTTCCCATGTGCCCTGGTTCATCCACATCCACGTTGTCAAAAGCACGGCTTCAGATTGCTTCTGCAAAATGGAGACCGCCTGAAAAAGGGACAGAGGCTTGGGAACATTTACAACTAGGGGACTTAACACCCATGCCATGAGGAGTCCTACTTAGGTATAAACCACTCGTCAGATGGCAGTTTTGGTCAAGGAACCCATCAGACCCCCCCCGCGGTTTGACCCCCCCTTGACTTACCAGTGCCCTTTTGCGCTTGCTCTCTGGCTACAGCGTCTCAGGCGAGAACCCAGTCAACTCCATGTCCAAGTGGCCAAGTAGGTCATCCAAGACTGCTCTTCTTTTCAGAACTGCAAACCGCCTCCGGAGTCAAGATCAAGGGACCAGGGTTCGTGCACTCCCAACTTTATTCCCCTCAGACCAAAAGACAACCAAGCGACAAGAGCAAATCAGAGTCAAGGACCCGACTCAGACCCCTCAGCACCCGCGCCGGGTGTATCCAACGCTCCGAGCGAGGGTCGCAAAAACAAGCTCTCTACGACGTAGGTCCTTGCGGATCCATTTCTGTTTGAGGGTGTTAGAATGATTGCACGCACAGCGGAGATAACCTCATATTTCTCTATGTTTGGTCTTTGCGAGGGTGGGACGCTTCCTGGTTACCTAATTAGTAGTAGGGGGGCCAAAAAATGTCCACAACAAATAGAACAAGCTATGGTTTTCCTTTTGACTTACCTAAGCCTATGCAAACCACAGGAATACGTGGGATACATCTAACTGTCCGCAAAATGGCGGTTGTTCTTTCGGTGTCCAATTTAAAACCACCACAAAAAAGAGAGGTACGATGAGGTACGTGCCGCAGCTTTTCCGCCTCCCAAAAAACGAGGAGCCCCTCTGACCCCCCTGCGACCCCCTCGTGGTGCAGGTTGTTTTTTGGGGGGGTCGTTAATTTTCTCGCAAAAGGTGGCAGCACAAAAACAAAAGAGCGACCCCCCGGTTCGGCGCGCGTTCGCTTTCGGCATGCGGCTCCGGGTGGCGCAGTGCAGCGGGCAGCTCTGGGACTTGGAGCTGCCCAGCGGCAGCCGCGGCAGGGACCTGGCGGCGCGCGCGCGGAGGCGCGCGCGATCGGCGGTCCGCGGACCGGTCGATGGGGTCTGGTCGGTCGATGGGAAAAGCTTGGCACTTCCAAAGAAACGGAAAAAGAAGAAGAAAAAAGCCTGTGTTTGTGTTATTTGTCTTTTTGGGTCTCGTTTTTACGTTGAATGGATGGTTGTGTTGAGACCTCCGAAAGTGGCAGAAGAAAGAAGAAAACAAAAACAGAACACAAAGCAAAAAAAAGCAAACAACCAACCCCTGAAACAGCTCTGGGCGTGCGGCTTCAGCCCCGATCGGACCCGCTGGCGTTTTGTGTAGGGGAAACCATCCGTGGTAAAGTCTCGAAGTCAAGATGCCTGGAATGTGATTCCATGTTCTCAAATTGATCCCCTGAAATTGTATTCCATTTGTTTCCTCAAACTAGGGATGCACACATCACCTGAAGCTCTTGTTTTCCCCAATGGCTGTGCAGTTAACGTCCCAGTTGGAATGCCCCCTGCTTAAGTTTGTGTCCAAATCCTGTTGATTCCATGCTGTCTAGCAGATTTCGCCCTGGGGAGTTCAGGTCATCTGAAAGAGTGCATGAAATAAGCAATCGCGGATGCATTTACAGGGCTCCTTAAAAGATACATTTGCGCATTTGAAACATGGCTTTTTCCACCAAAATAAAGGGACACCACCATTTACAAGTTGCAATGTTCAGGTGTGTAAAGTAAGGATCCCTGATTTACGTGTGCAGCAAGACTCCAAGGAGAGGCTTCATTCGCCTTGGGTCCGGGGATGCCAAGTGATAAACGCAGATCCAGGATGGAACTCGCAGGTCGACCCAGATCCACTTGCCTTCCCCAGAATTAGCTCCCCTGTTTGTTGTTTTGCTTTTTTTGGGTCCCTTTGTTTCCACTAACCAGGCAAAAAGGAAAACCAATGTGCTGGGGTCCGAATTCCAGCCTACTTGCCTGCAAAGAAGCAAACCAAGGGAACCAACCTGGGTGGTTGCTGGTGACCTACTATGGGGGTGACTGGGATCCACTCAGGGCTTCAGACCTTTCAAAAGTCCATTTACCTACGTAGCAATTTTCACCCATGCCCCATTTTAAGAAGAGATCTTCACTTTTTGGGCGGTTTCTTCATGTGGGTCGGCATCTAGCAAGCCCTAGGGGCAAAAACAAGATCACCTATGATGAAGGTCGCTTGCTTTGGTTTGCCAAGAATCCACATTTTCCAGATTAATAGAATATGTCCGATCTTTGGTGTGACCGACTCGCCCCTTTTGCGACCTTTTCATGGTTGTTGTTGTTGGGACACATTTTACATTTGTGCTTATTGTGGTCGAGTGGTTGAAATCCAACCACTTAACTGCTAAAATTGAAAAGTGTCTGCTCCCCTTCCAAAGTCAACCAAGTTTTGGACACGAAACCTACACCACGTTGCTCGGCCTTTGGCTCGGAGCTTGGAGCAGCCCGGTTTCGCTCCAGGTTTTTGCCTCACCTGGCTGCGCTGGTCTCTCCGCAGGGCCAGGTGCCGGGGGTTGCAGATGCGCAGTCCACGTCACAACGGCCTCTAATAGAATCCCCGAAGGAAGAACCCCGTTGATCAGGCATTATGTTGTACTTGGACAACCAAGGGAAATAGACCATAACTTTTGTTAAGGTATTTACGTTGCGGGATCGAATCTTTCCGTTGGCTCTCTCAACGGTGGTGCCTGAAGCGGATTTCGCAACCTTCCACAGTAGGGTGTTCCATTCAAGAGGGAAGTGATGATCACTTTTCTGGGGAGTTATGTTCACTTTTCTTCAAAGGGCTTAATCCGGGAGTTGCAACATCGGCGGCTTCACAGCCCCCACTTGGTATTTTTCACAGGGTACCCCTTGTGGGTTGGTGTTTAAATGCAACAGCAGGAAACCACCATGTTTTGGGGTCCCCTAAAAAGTGACACCCATTTTGACCTTTGCTTGGCACGGCTACTTGTTGCGGGCCTTGGCTGTTGTTTTTGCGTGCGTTGCTTGAAGGCGGCCAAGTAGGGAAGGTACGAGACACGTTTGATATTAACATGGCACTGCCGTGAGCAAACAGAGGCTGCCGATGGAATTGCGAACCCCTTTTGCATATTTGGTGCATGTGCTGACGTATGAGAGGTATCTAAGTGGGTGTCCATAGCCTTGGGGAAACATGGGTACATAATCAATACCGTCTTCCCTGCAAAGTGGTTGGAGGAAAGTTGACACTGTGTCAAACCCCATGTTGCCTCAAAAGGAGCGCCAAAATAAAGAATCCCCGCAGATTCAACCATTGCCGTGATGCTCTACTTTCCGCCATAAAATCCCCGGCCGGCTCGCCAAGACCCTTCGCCAAATTTGCGTTTTGGCTCAGGCTTGGAGCCTGCAGTTCCTTCCACAAACCTGCACCCGCTGGTTTGCGGAACCACCACGATATGTTTCTTCGTGGGCCTCGTTACCACCATCGAGAACATAGCAAATACATTTATCCTTTGTTCTCACCGTGGCTGTACTTGTGTGGCCTCAGAGCATATCCGCACGCACGATCGCCGCACCGGCCCCAATTGGTTTGCTTGCGTGCCGGCTTGGGCGAAGCCTTCGCCTGAGCTCGTGCTTTTGGTTGCTCTGAGGACAGCTGAAGGCATGTGACTTCTGGGTCAAACTCGAGTTCTTCTTCGCTTTCATTCGCTTCGCAAACTGTAGACACTCGATTCCATAAGATGCGCTCATTCATGAAGGACCCTCAAACAACGACAAGGGTCCTGACCAACACGACGCGAACTAAAATAGACTACAGAAAAAACAGGGTACCCAACATAGCCTACCAACCTGCCATAAACCTGCGAGGTCTTGCAGGAGGACACCGTGCTGGAGCCACCTGGATGCGAGCAGCCAAGCCGGGAACACGTCCTGCCTGTTTCGGAGAAATCCGGAGGATCGCAGTCAAGGGTGCTTCCTCGTTTAGGAGGATCCATGTTTGGGGGGGTCCGTTAACCAGAGTCCTCCGGATTAATCCGAAGATACCATAATTAGATAGTTGCCGCGCGCTAACTCTTTCGTTTTCTGGGGGGTCCCCCTTGCAAATCAAGAACCAAACGCAGAGTGCCCGCTGATTTCCATGGCCACTTGGGGCCTACTTGCATGGGTTTACAGAGGGCGAAAGTAGATGGCACGATTCCCCATTTGTGGTCTAATTGTCTTGGTCTTCCAAGGACCCGCACAAGCAGGGTCCTTCTTGAGTTTGCTCTTGGCTGCAAAAAGAACATCTGCCAAAGGCCTGCTTTTCATGGTCCTGGCAGATCACGGTTACAATCTTTGCAAATTTGCGTAAGCACGATGTGCATTTGCGTTCATCCTAGTGTGCAGGGGGGATTCAGTGGCTTTCACTTCCCCACAAACCCATTCCAAACCGTTAGCCCCAATAGTCGCAAAAATGTCTCGCGACTTCAGGAAGGGGTTTGGTTTGCCCAATGGGTCCGATCGGGGCTTTAGGGGTCTCAAGGCAAGTGATTTTGGAGCCCAAAGATTCATCGATCGGACCCTTGTGCTGCCCCAGGATAAAGCTTCCTTTCCTAGGTGTCTCCAACTTCTTTTCGAGTCCCTCCCCGCCCTCCGTCGCTGCCCCGGTTCCATGAGTCATTTGTCGAGCATTGGGGAATCATTGTTTTCACTCGGAAAAGCTCAGTTGTTTCGACAACTGAGCAGGGGCAACTGCTGTCAAGCCCAAAAAAATGGCCGGGCCTAGCAAAAAACAAATGCAATCCTTGCCCTGCGGAGTGGCTTTTGAAGTGCTCCTCCGCCCCGTTCGAGTAGTTAAGGTCATGTCTGCAGGAGGGGGACACCGTGACGGCTGTGGCGAGACAGGGCGCCTGGTCTGAAATCTACACCCGGCGCTTCCAGCTACACTTGTAGTATCCCTGTGATTCCACTTCCCATACTAGGGAACCAAAAGAGCCACCCGACAATATCAAAACTCAGCGGTTAAAACCCAACAGTAAAGTGGCTGGTTACCTAGCATAGCTAACGGTGATCCACAGGGCTAGGCAACCAGGGGAAAAACATCCACAGTAAAACCTAAGCCTGCTATGAGCCCGCACCGAGGCGATTGGGCAGAATGAGATTGAGAGGCTTGTAATTGTGTGGAGCAGGCAGAGGGCAACATCACTACCCCTCAATGGAAGGGCGGGACATTTCCCTAATTTCGGACCCCCTTCTCTTTTTAGGGGAAATCAGATCATGCTTGGGGGTGGGAATAGGGCAGCCCAACGTTCTTGGGTTTTCTTGGCCATGTCTCACCACACCCTTCTAGTTTAGATTTTTAGCGTGAAGGATTTATGTCACACCCGCCACATGTTATATAACTTTTAACCAGGGATCGACATACGAAGTTTCCTCCAAGAAGGTCAACAGGCAAACTCGCGATGTGGGGGGAGGGCACCATCCACGAACCGCTTGCCCCAGCGCCCATTTGAGGGGCTCTGACCCCAAACGATGGGACCCTCGGCTGATTACGACATTTTCGGACTTGCTAGAAGCTTGCCTTTCTAGCTGTTTGCCCTCATGGGTTGCCTCTTGTTCCTTTGAACCAACAAAAAGTAATGTCTTTTACCAGGGGTCCAAGTCCGGCCAAGAACTGAGTGACCCTGTGCAAACTCAAAGGCTAACGGATAAAAGTCTGTGGGGGGCCCTGGGATGTTACTTCTATCACACCATTAACACTGGTGTACTGGGTTGATTTTGACCGGATTCCACTTGCACACGCCCAAGAAACCAGGCACCCTCCAGGGTCGACATATCTCTAGTCGAGGTCAGAAGTCGTTTGTGCCCAAGACGACCGCCTTTCATTTTTTTCTGAAATCGTTGTTTTCCTGGAGTGATTCCATTTGTACTTTAGATAATCAATTGGTTTCTCAGCCTTTATAGACCAGAAGGAACATGGCGAAGGGCTGCCTACCGGGGCGAAACGCCTGCAACTGGCTTGCTTTGGTTAGATGGAAAAGGTTGTGTGTTTTCTTCTCAACAAGAACTTGGGTGTGCGTTTTGGTTGAGGACCCTCTGGACATCATCTGGGTATGTTACGGGTTGGTTTAGGCTTGGTTTAAGGTTGGTTTAGGGCTCCTTTAGGGTTGGTGCAGGGTTGGTTCAGGTTTCGTGTTTGGCTGGTTCGTGGGTGATTTACGTCCATCAACTACTTTTGAAGTCATCCCCCCCAAATTCACAGCCAGGTGCAACTTGAATGCCTCAAGCTTGGCAGAGCGTGGGGAGTGATCTGTTCTCTAAACATTTCGGAGTGGGTGTCTCAGTTGTCCAAAGCCGACCTTTTGACCTTTTGGTTTTCCCATGTTGGTCCATTTTTAGCAGAGGTGCCAAAAGGTTAACCTTTTAGTTCTGGGTCCTTTGGGCAACTGAGGTGTTCCCAATTCATAGCACCCACTCTCCCCCAGTGAGAATTGCCAAGAACGGAAGCAAAGGCAAATCTGCCAGCCAGGGCGTGCCCTACAGAATTCAATCACATGGTGGGAGGCCCAAGGATTGCTGACAAGATGGCAGGGAAAAAACATGTTTGTTGTACACCGTATATGGGCGTGATTGTGTTTCTTTTTGAGTTGGTACCCTTCTTGGGGTTTTCTTTAAAGGGACACCAAAAGGAACACCACCATTAATATATATATATACATATACGGGGGGTCTGTATCTAGAGGGTACGTACCCTTTTCTCAGGTTACCGGATTGTCGAAACGGAACCAAAAGAAAAGCACCCCCCCCAGGTATTTTGGGGTACCTGTACCCTAAAACTAGCCTTACAATGGACATTTTTTATACTTGTGGGGCAATATCCGATGCGGAATTTAAGGGTCCTTCCATTTGCTCGAGCATATTGCTGTTTGTTTTCTCTCTTGTGTTAAGAGGGAATCCAGCACGATAGAACTCTTTTTTTCCTCAATTTTTCCCGTGACAGCAGCTGTTTTTTTTTTTTGGAGTTGGTACCCGAGTTTGGTGGCTTTAAAGGAAGCCCAAAGGGAACACACCAAACAAATTTGGCAAATTTAGGTCTCGGTACCTGAGCCTTCAAACTACTCATAAAAAAGGGACTTCACCCCATGCTTTTGGGGCAACAACCCACCTCCAAAATGTTGACCTTCCAGGCACCTTGGTGTCTCGACCCTGGGCCAAAGCCTTCGCTTACCTCCGGCCCGACGGCACGGTGGCCACCTGGGGTGAGCCCGACGCGGGGGGCGACAGCAGCCAAGTGCAGGCGCTCGGAGTGTCGACGAACGCGGCAACTTTCTAGGGGGTGATTCCTGTTCCACTCTGTTCAACCATCGTTCTTTCCAAACACCGGATCCGTTTTCGCTGGGTTTCCGGAGGTTTTCTAGAAAGAAGATTTTTCTAGAAGCTTCCATTTGAACCAAATTTGGTGGCCCAACTGAAGTAGCTAGGTCCTTTCTCACCCTTTTTTGGTTAGGAGGGTTCCCCTGCCAAAAAGACTAAAGAAAAAAAGGGTACCCTTATTCCAACCTCTCTACTGGAAGACCTAATATAGTAGGAAACAATATTTTGTTGCTAAGAATATGTTTTTCATTGTCCCTTGTTGGTTTCAAAAGGGAATCAATTTCACTACTAGAACGATAAGTTCTCATTTTGCCAGGGGGCGCGAAAAGCAAATGGAAGCCAACCAAAGCAAATCAACCGGATCAGAGCTTTTGGTTTTTCAGTTTTGACACCTTTGTCAAGGTCGTTTTGGGTTGACCTATTTCCAGGTCCTTTGGGCAAGTGAGCCAAACCCGACCCAGTGCTTCGCAAAAACCAAGGCTTGTGGGATACCAACACCATAAACAACAAATTGTCATAGTCAGGGGTGGTGCCATTTTAGTAGGGGCATGACGTATTTTAGTGGGGGTACCGCGATGATGACTAAATGTGGTTTGTACCGCACCCCAGTCTAATCACCGCTCGCAATGTCAACTTTGGAGTAATCCAGGGAACCATGCTAGTCAGGCATGGCTACCTCTTTCAATGGGGAAATTATCCGTTTCAGGATAATCCATCTAAGTTGTATGGTCTGTATGAATCCGAATTTGACATTATATTGCCCCTTAGCGAAGCTACATTGGGGTAGTGGAGTACCTTAAAACCCAACTAAGTCTTCATGATAGAGAATATTTGTAGTGTGTAATCATGTTGCCCCTCCCTGTGCTTTTTGTTGCCACTATAGGTAACCATGTATGTTTTTTCCTGTAGGTTTGCATTTGGCTTCCCCTGGTTAGCGGCGAAGCGGGTCCACAAGTGCTTTCCCAAAGACTCCTCACTGAGGGCGGGTAGATCGTGCAACCGGGCCTAAATCATTCTGGGGGTATGGTTACTTTAAACATCAGCTTTCTGGCCCATGAAAGGTGAGTTTTCTTGGTGGGGGTGACGTTTCAAGGCGAAATATAGGGAGCCAATGGGTATGTCTTCTTTGGAGGCTTGGAGTCGCCTTATCTGGAAGTCAAAGGAGAACCACCCATGGGGTTACATGAGACAAACCCAAATGAAACCTACCAGACCTATGACTTAGATACTGCTTTTCTAAATGGGTGTCTTTTTTAGTGGTCCTTTCTTGTGTCTCTTAAAGGGACACCACAGGTAAAACCCACTTCTTCTTCTTTTTTCGGGGGGGGTGGAATTGTTGCCCAGGGGGGCATGGTTGACCTATGAAAGGTCAGTGTTTTTTGTGTTAAGAGTGATGTTGCAAGGGGAAATATGGGGAGCCCTGCTCAAATGGGTATGTCTTCCAATGGAGTTCCATGAGACAAACCCAAATGACACCTACTAGACCTATGACTTAGGAAAATATGGGGAGCCCTCTTAAAGTTCTGGACCCTTCCCTCTCCTTCCCCCCCTCTCCTCCCCACCCACCCCCCCACCCACCCCCCCACCCACCCCCCCAACCACCCCCCCAACCACCCCCCACTCCCCACCCACCCCCCACTCCCCCCCCCACGACAAACACCTCACTTCCTGAGTTCATGAACTTTAAACTTTTTGGGAGGACCATTTTAGTGGTACAGAACAAGTTTGGGAACTTTTCTTGGGCCATCCACTCAGCCAGTGAGACACCCCAAGGGATCCGAGCGGATCCGTCAGGCGCAGCTCAGCTCTGTGCAGCGTGTGGCCGTCTCCTGCGGCGCCTTCGCGGCGCTCAGAGCCGGCGGCGTGGTGACCTGGGGCAAACCGGAGGCCGGAGGCGCAGATCCGCGGGGGACGGCGGGAGTCCTTCGACTCGTGTGGAGCCATTTGTGCGTCCATTTGCGTAAGAATAGGTGTTTTCCCCTTTTGGCTTTATAGGGAATTTCTATCACCACTGGAAGTATTGTTACTTTTTCCAGGGGACTTGAGCAAATGGAGGCTTGGGTCCATTTGCTGAAATGTATTTGCTGAACTTGGTGGCTCGCAACCATCCGGTTCCTTGGCCTTTTAGCTTAGTGTTTAGTGGCAGTTTCCATTTAACCCACTAAAAGTTAAGCTTTTAGCGGATCTGAGCCCAGTGAAACGAGGAGTTTGTCTTTGTCTTAGTATTGAATTGTTCCATCTGGTTTCACAGGAGTTCGACTTCACTACTGGACATATGTTGTAATTATTTGTTCCAGGCGGCCTAAGCAAATGGAAGTTTGAGTGTGTCTTTTTTAGGTTGACCCCCCCAAATGGTTTTAGTTTTCCTTTTGGTTTCCTTTTTAGCCAGTCGAAAGGTACCCGTAAAGCAGGCGCAGCCATTTGGGAGTGGCTCAAAAAACAGCTGCAGGTTACGCAAGCGTTGTCCTTGTTTCCCTGTACCAAGGTGCCATTAAAGGTACCATGTTTTGAGCCACAGCCTTCTGGGTGCGTGATGTTTGGAGGTTCAGATTGTTTCATATCTACAGGGAAGTAGATACTATTTGGCTTTTACAGCGCGTGTGGTCTGTGTTTTTTGGGACGCTCGGTAAAATGAATCCGAAGCCTTTTTGTGGCCCACATCCCTACTTTGGCACCAGGTGTTGGTAGGTAACCCTGTACAACCAGATGGAAGATGGCCGGTTTCTGCTCGAGCCCAAACAACAGAACTTGTTGGCTTTTGAATCTTGCGGAAGCATAAGTTGTGATGGTAGCAAATCTCACGTCCTGAGTTCCTGGACTTTAAAACTTGTTGGGAACACCTTTTGGTGGTGAATTGCAAGTTTAGACGGTTTTTTGCCACACCACTCAGCAAGTGATATGCAGATTCTTCTTTGTTTTGTGTTGTGTTTACATGGAAACAACAGCGAATGCCGAATAAGGCCCAAATATTGTTGCATTCACCAGTGTAGTCCAAGAACCTTCTATTGAGCCTTATCCCCTCTCACCCGTTATCACCCCAATAACAACCTCAAAGGCTACCCACAACCTCAACACCCCCCATTGCCCATTCTAGCAGCTGGTTCTTCCTGTTTAAATCGAGATTATGGGAAATCCCCATAAAGAAAACTAAAAATTGTTTGACTACTTGGTTAAAATCGGGGTTGTGGGAAATCCCCAGAACACAAGCCAATTTATCCCCCTCACAGCCATGAATTGGTTTTGGACCTCTCAGTGCGCTCAGATGGACGGGCCCGCCAGGCGATAGCCAGCGGGTGCAGGACTCCTTGTTCCGCGTGGAGCAGATCTGCGCCTCGCTGGGCGCCTTCTGCGCGCTACGCAGCGATGGCCACGTGGTGCCTTGACTCGGACATAGGCGTCGGTTTGGTTAACAAAAATTGAGGGCCCTGGTTTACCCGGTGGTTCAATCATCCACCAGGGCCATCTAGTTTTCAATAAGGACACCTATGGACTCGGATTTGGTTCACCCGGAACTGTAACTCCCCGGAGCGAAGTAGAGGTACTTCCAACCATTCCTAGGTCCCCCAGTAGTGCCTTTTTACCCGTTCTTTTTTTGGGGGGGGTTCCCCTGCTAAAATAGACTACAGAGAAAAGGGTACCCTTATTCTGTCCTCTCTACTGGAGGACCTAGATTCTGAACCCAGAGATCCTTCTTTCTAGAAAGCCTCAGGAAGCCCAGGAACAATTTTGCAAGGAACGATGGTTGAAAAGAGTGGGGAAGCAACCCCTAGATAAGTAATTACCCTCTTTCCAACAATCATGGAAGTGCACAAAGGGGTTCCCCAAAAGGAAAATAGTCTTCCAAAGCTCTCCTGTCAACTTCCATGTTTGTTGGAGAGAGGGTAGAACCCGCCCGAAGTTAGGGGGAGCGGGCCGCTCCAAAAGTGGCCGGAATCCCCACTAAACCCAAAAACACCCCTGAACTCAATGTGTGGCTAGTATCCAGGGTTACACCCCGCTTAGAGAGGACTTGCAAACATGGGGAACTGGTGAGTAATATATATTTAACAAACAGGGTGATTAGTTCACGGTTCCTGGCATCTCACTTTGGCTCTGCTCATTTCAGAGGGCTGGGAAAGACAACAAGTTTCACATTGACATGGCACCAAGTGGTTCGACTTCTTTTGGGAGGGTCCAGACGGGGCCTCTTTCAAACTGAGAAAAGGATAGGCCACTGAGATTGTGCGAACCTCATCCAATAGTTTGATTCCAACCCATTCAATTGGCTGATTTCATTTTGTTTGATTCCAGAGCATCCCTTGCTACCTAAGGATGTAGCGGCACAAGGCTATATCTACGTTCGGGCTTGGTAAAGGGAAACGCAGTGCGACCAAACTAATTGTCTCCCCGTTCCAGCACACCCCCGACTGCTACGTCCGTCCCGACAGTCCGTGCGCCGTGGTTGAGTTGCCCAGCACCAGCTCCAGCATCGACCCCCTCCGGGCACCTCGCAGTCTAAACTTGCACCAAATCTGCCCTCCCCAAAAATATGTTGGCTTCTGTGTCATCATTGGGTGTCTTTTTCGAGGATATCCCCTATTGGTTTTGAAGGGGCACCAAAAAGGAAAACCCACAATCAAAACCCGGGTAGATGAAGGTTAGTAAGAGACAATCCCAACCAGAAACAGCTGCGGCCGCCTTCTTAGTTCTTTACATGGTTCTGTGGGTGAACCATTTTTGTACCGGGTTTGGATTTGGACTCAGGTGACCTGGGGCAATCCCGCCTGCGGCGGGGAGAGCAGCGCTGTGCAGCACCAGCTGCGCCTTCGACATCGAACTTTGTCATTTTCTCGCGGCGGGGTGTGGAGGCGATCTGGGCTTGCAGAAGAACCGGGGAAGTGATACACCCTCCCACGTTGCCAGGGCACCAAACAGGGAATTGGTCCCTTGGAAATTGATCTTGGGGTCTCAAAACATTGGAACAACTTTCATTGATGGGACCCATTACACTTGGTGAGTGTCTAAACTCACGGTCATATCGCACCACAGCTATGCTAAGTCCCCTTCCAGTAATTAATTTGGATTATTTTCCAATTGGCCGCCTGAAGATAGGGCCCTAAGGCTAAAACTGCAACCAGGCCACCTCAAGAAGGCCGCCTGAAGAAGGGCCCTAAGGCTAAAATTGCAGCCAGACCCTGGCCTTTCTTCAGAGTGAAACCAAAAAGAGGCTGTTGAAGCCATGGTTGAACAGGTTTATACAAGGGGTCGTCCAATCCGCAAGCTCCGGCGCCAAAAGGCAGACGTTGGTGGAAGGAGCACGTGTGCCAATTTCCAAGCACTGCCGCTTGCTTTTTTGCTTATTGTGGTTGAGTGGTTGAAATCCAACCACTTAGCTGCTAAATTTGAGAGTTTTTCCTACCCTTCCAACCTCAACCAAGTTATAGGACTTAGATTAGCACCCCCTAGCCGTTTTTTGCACAGTCCTTGGGCGGGCTCGGTTTGCAGTGTTTCCAGCAAAGGAGCGAGTTCCAGGACACAACCAAATGGTTTCTCAAAGTAGGAATCGGTGCCCCTGAAATGGTTGTACCACCAAAAGGAGGTCAACTGAAAAAGCACACACACACAAACGCACACCCAACTTTGAGAAGCTCCCAGGTGCATCTTCTTTGAGTCCTTCTTGGGCTGGTTCAAAGAGCAGCCAAAAGGAGAACCGATCCATGTTTTGGCGGCAAACAATTATTGAATAATTGGAGCTTCTCGTTTTGGTGGTATTTCAAGGAAAGCCAAAAGGATGGCCACTATTAGTTGGGTTCAACTTTGTGAAGTTTAATGCATGGGTATATGGGACCAAACATTCCTGCGGTCTAACACTTCGACGCCACATGTCGCAACTGACTCAGGACCAATGTGCGCTTCATCTCAGCCTCCTTTGGCGCGTTCGCCGCCGCCACAGCGACTCGATTTGACCCGATGCTGCGAAAGTCACTGGGTGCCACCGACGCCGTGTCTGCCTCAGGTCGGATATTTGTATTTCACCCAATCACGTGTTTTTGCCATTGCTTCCAGGCAAACCTCTATCTATATATAGGTAACCAGGTCGGTAATGTGTATTTCGCCCAGATGTGTTGGCTAGGGCTTCCATTCAAGCCACCATTCTGCCACCACAGCGAATCAGCTGGATCTTACCTTTTGGCATTCATGTTTGGTCAGGGTTACGAAAGGTGAAGCTTGTATTTTCAGGTCAGTGAGCTACCCTTGATCTGGGTCCTAGGCTTAGGGGAGGTTTAGGGTTGAAGCTTCAAGACCTCCATTGGTCCAATGGTCAGGATCTCAACGGGAAGAGTTACCTCCAAAACGCCCTCTTCAAAGTCTCATGATTCTCGAAAGTAGGTAAATTTATCCTGATGACCTGTGGCAAAACGCCCTTCCGTGAGGCACTGGATGTGTCAAATATCTTCCACGTAACCCTTTCTCACAGCACCCAGAACTGATTCCGAAAAGGGCCATTTTGGCTCGTGTGGTTCGGTCCCAACATCCACTCCATTGCCGAACAGCCAATGGGCTCCCTTTTCGTGGCTCCAGCAGGGCACTTGGAGGTTTATGGGTGTATGTTGTTAGGGGCCCTCTTTGGCGGTTTTGAAGGGAAACCAAAGGAAAACCAAAGCCATGTTTTGGGGGGGCCCTATAAAAAGGCGAAAAAACCCTCATGGGTTTGACCCTAAACCCTCCCGAAGGCACTGTCGATTTGTGATGTCCGGTTCCGATGATAAAATTGGCGGAGAATTGATGTGTCTGTGTATGTGTTTCTAATGGGGGAGGGTGTTGGCCCCCATTCCTGCTTTTACCCAGTACCTGCTTCTTTGTTTCCTCAACTATAGTATGTAGGCAATCAGGGGAATCACAAATTAGAAACTTCAGTTCGAATGGTATCGTAGGCAAAGCATCTCGCAAACGCACAAAGTGTTGATTGCAACCCTACTCATTATGAAGGGTGCCGGGGTTTCCATGCTTAGTGGCCCCAACCTGGTATTTCTGGGTGACTGAGATCATTCAGATAAGCCGCAAAAATGTGGCCCTGATGTCGTACGGTCCTCCAGGTTGATCCCAAGTGAACATGAGTGTTTTCAGTCACAGCGGATAACCAAGCAGCTTTCCCCCTTAGGTTTTGCATTACATGATGGTTTCCCTTGGTTACCCATGGCAACTGGAACTGGTGCCGGCCCGTCGATCTGATTCCGGTTTCCCATTTGTAGGTAACCAAGGGCTTGCAACGCTTTTAAACACCCAAAGGAAACTTCCCCAGAATGAGTTCCCCTTTTTACTTTTTTGTTTTTTTGGGGTTCCCTTTGTTTTCCACTACCGGGCAAAACATATATATATATATATATATACAAATATATTTTTGCTGGGGTCCCTTTTTTCCAGCCAAGGAAAATGGATCGAAGGGTTGCCTACCATGGTCACTGGGATCCAGCGGGCTCTGAGGAGAATGGCATCGTGTGCTGGGGCCAGAAGCGGACCGGTGGCGATGGGCGCCTGGTGCAACACGTGCACGATGCGGCTTGGAAAGCCAGATGAGGGACCAGGGTCCTGTGAGCAGTGGCCCGAAACCAATTCCACGCCGTTTTAGTACCTGGACCCTCAAACTACCCAACATAAGTTTGGGGCAATGACGGGATTTTGAGGGTTCAGGTAGGTGGTTTTACTAGCTGGTGCGATTTTTTGTGTTATATCCGAGCCTTTAAGCATGTATATATAGGTGGAACCACATCACATGTCAGCGGGCTTTCGGCGCTGCTCATGTGAGCAACGGTGCAAATCTACGCAGGGGCGCTCGTGGTCAGGACACGGGGTCTTTCTACGTTCCCCACAACACCTTTGGTGCATTTTGCTTGGATGTTAGGACATTAACTTTTGTAACTTTTTGCCAACCAATGGGTTTTCCATTAAACCACTAAAAGTTAAACTTTTAGCAGGGGAGCAGATTTCGCAACCAAGAAACCTTTCGACTTTCTTGCAACGCCGTAGCAAATCTGTGGCTTCGCGCGGAAGGTTTGTTTTCCTTCAAGAGGCCCAGAGATTTGGGCCCTGCGAAGCTTCCATTTTGAGGGTCTAAATCTTAAATCCATTTGGACGAGGGAGAAGAGTAAACCAAATGGACAACTTGCGCAGCCAGTTTTTGAGGCAAAGGTGACTTGCTTGGGGTTGTTTATAGAAAGTCCAACCACGGGGAACCCACTTATTATTTATTATTATTATCTTTTTGGGGGCGGGGGTGGGCTTTTATGACACACCTCTCGAAGTGGGTTGCTTTATTTTTCGGTGTGTTTTGTTTCTTCGGAATCATCAAATGAACGGCAGGTCAGTCCGCTAGTCAGCGTGAAGTTGCGAAATGCAACCTGGGGGCCACCCCTTCCATTGGCGTAAGGATATGTTTTTTATTTTCACCTTTTGGTTTTGAAGGGAATCTATCACTACTTACTTTTGTTTTTTCTCCGGGGGTTTCAAGCAACTGGAGGAGCCACAGGCAGTGTGAAGTTGCGAAATGCAACAGCCTGGCAGCCACCCAGTCATTCAGGTGGCCATTTCGGTCGCTGCAAAGGTCACCTCTTCCGCTTGTCAGGTCCAAAGCATCTTCGCCACGACTGCCGCCTTCTGCGCGCTGCGAAGCAACGGCCAAGTCGTGGCCTGGGGCCACCAGGCGAAGCATTGGCCCCTTAGGGTTGGGTCGAAATCCGCATGTTTCTCAGCTGCCCCCAAGAAGCGAATGGAATTTGTGTTTTGCGGTTACCCGTGGATACCCGTTCGGGTTGGGTCTGGATCTGCAGTTTTTGTTTCTCAGTTGCCCCAAGAAGCGAATCAACATGTGTTCCTTTCTTTCGGTGGTTTTTCCCTGATTTGGCAATTTGGCAACCACCTTGGTCTTCCATTGACCCGCAAGAGCAGGGTGCTTCGCCTTTGGTTTGCCGGTTCTTGTTCCACGTTTACCAGTGAGGTTTACCAGTCCCAGTAACCAGGCACCATCCATGTTAATTCCTGAGCGTAAGGTTGCCTGCTATAGTGGCGAAACGCCAATTGGAAGCACTGGGAGTGTCTTGTTGATTCTTGTTCGGTTCCTTGTGTGGGTGGCGGTTGGCCTCCAACAGAGGCCCCAAGATGGTGCAAGTTTGTGAGGGCCAAAAGCGCTTGGTGTTTCTTCTTTTTTTGGGCGGGGAGGCAGATTGATTGAAGCAGTGATTTCCGTGACCCTCGTTTTGCAACTCGGATCCAGGTACAACCTACTTGGGTGTTAATCGGAGTTCATTCAGGGGCCAAAGATGGCCAAAGTACCTGAACAGAACCTACACGGATCCTTTGTGTAGATATTTAAGGACACTTTCAAGCTGTGCCCCTTCTGCCGTTTCATCGCCATGCAGCTTTGGTGACTTCCTTTTTGGAGAGGACTTAGGGTTTGGGACCTGGTGGAAAAGTAGGCTGTACTTGGATGGTCTGACTTAGATAAGTGGGTTGAAACCTCCATTTCCCTGTGCTCAGCAGGGAGTGAGAAATGGAATGACCCCAACAAACACACATCCAACTGGTTTCCTTTGAGGGGACAGGTTCCTTCTCTCATTCTCTACGGCAAGTTTCCCACTTCGCCCTCTGGCGGGACGGGTCAAAGTTATAGCCGAGACCCGGGTCCCGAGCTCTGCTTTGACAGGCTCAGGTTTGGATCTGGAACGATGGACCAAACAAGGTGCGGCTCGGGATCTTTGCCTCTGGGGGGATTCGGGGTCCCACCCACTTCCTGAGTTCATGAACTTTGAACTTTTTGGGAAGATCATTTTGGTAGGTAAATTTAGAGTTTAGACTTTTTTGGGGCCATCCACTCAGGCAGTGAGCCCACCTGGGACTATTTATGGTTCGGCTTTGGAGGTTGGCTTAAGATGAACACATGGAGAAGCACGCCATGTTGCTCGGTTCCCCTGTTTTGACACACCCACACAGATCCCCATTCAGCCACCCCATCTCCCCCGCCATGCGTGTCAGGCGCTCGGTGGCTCTTGTGCCGCCGTGCAGCATCGCTTCGGTGCTGAAGTGGTGCAGGCATGAAGTGTGTTTGAAACTTGAGGGTAGCCTTTTAACTTTTAGGGTCGGGGGAAAATTGATGGGACAGGAAAAGGAAAAAAACAACATGTTAGGGGGGCCGCACTATTTTTAGACACTGTGTTTGATTCTGTTCTTTAGTATTTTGGGGAACTTCCCTTCAAAGTGACAAAGATACCGGTTCGCTGATTTCCACAGGTGGCGGCGTCTGGGTCCGCCTTTGCAGCGCTGTTGGGCAACGGAGAGGCGCGACGTTTGAGGTCGTGTGGGGAGAAAGATGGTTCTCATGGTTTGACACATGAGCCACAAACCCCCCAAATCCATGCCTATATAAGGCCTGTGGGTGTGGCATGTCCATTTGGGGTGTGCAAGTTGCCCTTAGACCAACATGAGGCTCATTATCCTACATTTAGGCCCAGTGCTTCCAAACATTTTGCCATATCCGACCGGTCAATTTACCGAGCTTGGCTTCACCATGGATGGTTTCCCCTGGATACCTGTAGTTTTCTGCCTGGAAGTACTCCTTTTGGTCCCAGATGTTGATTGTGAATCACATGGATTGACACATGAGGTGTGGATCCAAAAAATTGCAATTACTCATTTCACGAGCTCTAAACTCCCAAAAGAGAACAGCGGAGGACTGTGCAACATCATGGCGTGGGGGGGGGAAGTGGCATCTCCGTGTTCCCTTTTGGTTTGGTTAGGGGAACGGCTGTGGTGCCCCTTAGGAAACGCCAAAGTAATTTGCTTAGCAAGGCCTGCAACCTTTCCGAGAGAGTCAGGCTCACTTCCTGATTTGCTGGAGTTTAGTCACTTTTCGGGCTTGGACTTTAGTGGCAAACAACAAGTTTGGACTCTTTGGCCAATCCACTCAGAAAGTGAGTAAGGGTCAACCAGCTGTGTTTGTGTGTGTGTGTGTGTGCGTGGACGGCGTGGGACGGGCTTGGGTGCACGCAGCAAACACCAACCAGCTGCTTTGCGCAAGCACGCATTGCGCATCATGGCCGGCTGCGCAATCAGCCCAAGCACACGCCTTCCGACCGGGAGCCGGCCTGTCAGGCCCGCCTGCACCCCCGGGCAGACAAGCCTACGCGGGCGGCGCAATTAAGGGCTACAGCGTGATGTCCCAGCCAGCACAGCAACCCAAAAAGGCCGTTCCCGCGATCCATTGCTGTAGTACTGGGCTCCGAGATGCCCAGCTTGGAGAGGCGTCCCGCGTGACACGTAACGAGCTGCGTACGGTACAAGAAATATGCCCTTGGCGTGCCTGGCCCCAACAGGATTAAGCATCACCACAGACCAAGCCATAGACGAAAGGGCACAATCAACACAATTTGTGGCGGATTTCCCACTTGGGATCTCTTTGGGGGTCTCTTTTGAGGATCTCTTTTGGCGGGCTTGGATCGATCCTCTGATTCAGTGAGCTTTTTTTTGTGCATGCTTATCCCAGAAGGAAACCAAAGGGGTGCCCTTTGATGGCCGATGGCTTGTGGCACAGGTGAGTGAGTAGTCATCCGAGCTCGGAACTCACTTGGAGCCCATGTACCCCAACTCTGAAGCCACGGCCAAAAGGCCCTTGACTTTCCTTCCGAGTCCTAGTTGCCCAGTGATTCCGCGTCTTTGTCTCCCCTCGTTTTTGGGACGGGTCTTAGTCGTTCTAGACTCGACCAACCAAAAGCGTGCCCTTTATTCCCATGCAAATCCACTGAACTCAGGATTTCCGTCCCCTAGGGGTGAAATCATTTCTGTGACCCACATTTGAAGGTGGTGGCTTGGGGTGACTCGACGCAGCTTCCGGCTACAGAGCTCAAGGAGTGCGGAAAAAACGGGAAGTGTGGGCGAGCGCGGCACTCCCTTGGCACGTGACTCTTGTTTCTCCATAGGTCACCCTCAAACTACCCGTCAAAAGGGGATTCATCCCATCATTCTGGGGTAAACAAATTTTAAGTTTGATTTTTTGGGGGTGCAGGAACCCGTTTTTGGGTTGTAAAGAGAAACCAACAGGAGACCACCGAACGCCGGAGGTGTCTCCAAGTTGTTGCGTTTAGTTTTGGTGCAATTGTTTGTTGTGGTCATTCTAAAATGATGGATGCAAAGAACACCGTTTGTTGCTCGCATGCCATCCCGGCTTCTTGGATGTTCAGCCAACTTAAGTAGATTGTAACCATGGCTATGAGTCAACGAACACTTGAGCAGCATTCCACATTCTTTGCAATGCACTTTAGTATTCATGAAGAGTTGTTGATTTGAACATGTCTCTTCCCATGCGGAAGGCTGCGAAAGGCCTCGGGCTTCGCGGCAGGGATGAAACTCATTTGCTATGTCGACACTCGCAAAAGCTTCGGGAGCAGCCGCGAAAGCCCCCGAGGCCTTGGCGAAAGGAATTTGCTCGTGTTGCGCTCGCGCCAACTTTTTTTTGAACAACGCGCACCTGCCCAAGTCATCACCATGGTTAAAAACCTGCTAGGTTGAAGATGCAGTAGGCAACCAGAGGGAACCGTGATGTAATGCAAGCACATTGGAGGGTTGCAACTATGGTGACTGCACGATCGCCTTCGACAGTTCCGGCTTGTGTGTGTGTGTGTGTGTCTTGTTGGAGGGCCTTCTCCTTCTCCCCCCCCCCCCAAATTGGTGGTTTCCGTGGTGAAAACCACCAAGTCACCGCCTGAGTTCCTTGACTTCAAGCTTTTGGGGAAGCCCAGTTGAGTGGCAAACAATCAGTCGAGACGTTTTGGGCCCATCCAGGAAGTGAGGACAGGAGGTTGTTTTGACTCTCAAATTGGGTAGGATGCTGACTGGGCTGAAGGAGTTCTATCACTGGTTCAATCATGTGGGAGTGTCTTTTTGGGGACCCAAACAAATGGTGGTTTCCTAACCGCCCCCAAAAAGTGGCAAACTTACCCATCCATGTTTGGACGGTTTTGCCCATCCATGTTTTTGGCCCATCCACGAAAGTGAGATCAACAATCCCAACTCGTGGTGGTTTTCCTTTAGGAAAAAGGGCACCCTGAAACAATGACAGACCATCCACTTGGTTTCCCTTTAGTTTCACTATAACCACCAAAAACGATGTACCTTCAGAATATGACAGACCGTGCACTCAAAAAATGTGGTTTCCTTTTTGGTTTCACTTGAAACCAAACCCCAAAAGGGTACCCATCCACTCAATTGAGATCAACAATCCCAACTCAGCCCCTCCAGGACGTTTCTCGTCTCTTCGCCAACGATCGCGCCTTTGCAGCGATCAAAGCCGATGGCACTGTGGAGACATGGGGCTGTAGCCAGCGGGGCGGCAGCGGTGAAACCCGCGAGCTGAGGCCGGTTTTTGGAGGGCTGTCGTTGATGTTTGTCGGTTTTAGGTGTGTCGTTTTTGGAGGGTGCCCCTTTTTTGTGGCGTTTACGCGGAAAGCAACAACAAACAAGAGAACCATCATCTTGGGGGGGTCCCTAAAAAAGACACAGCCGCGTTGCGTTCTTTGGTGTTTTGGCCAGGGGCGCTTCTACTTGATTAGATGGCGTGGGGGAGTGGTCTGTTTGTAGCCCTGAAGGAGTTGAAAGGTGTCAACACTTAACTGGAAGTTTACCAACCGGACCACTTGAGGAGGATTGGGGGAAGGAGGGATGGTGTTTTGTTCGGATGGTTGCTGTTTTGTTTTGTTTGGACACAAGTTTTGTTGGTTTCATGTCGTGTTCTTTGTTGCTGTGTTGTTCAAGTTCGACTCGATTTGTCCTTTGGACGGGGTAGACATCTACGGCTGTAACAGGAATTTCAGGCTATGTTTCCAGATATAGTTCCCTGGTTTAACCCTGGGGCTTACCCTTCAACCCAAAGAACATTAGGAAGGGTGCATTTTTCTTGGCTGTTGGGACTGGACAACTTTTTGCCAACTAATGGGTTTTTCGAACTAAACCACTAAAAGTTAAACTTTTAGCAGGGGAGCAGAAAGCAACCGAGATTAGGAAGGGTGACATGTTATAGTCGTAACTGGGATCCCCTTCTTGCTTGTGAAAGGTTGGTGGGGTAAAGCAGGCTGTTCTTCGAGTGACCTTTGCTGGTCTTGTATCGGAAAGGTCTAGTCTTCGGAGAAGCTATCTCATGGCCATCTTAACATGGCTGGTCCAAAAGAGGGGTTCCGCCCAAAAAGCCTTAACATGGCTGGTCCAAGAGAGGGTTCCCCGAAAAGACGGATTACATTAACGGGGAGCAAAAGGTGTGACTTTAGGGATTAGGAGACCGTGCTTCTAAATTCAAACCCAGGGTTTGCAGAGGTTTAAAGGTGGAGTCGTCAATTAGAGGTTATTGTAGGATCCCCAGATCAGTGAGCTGACCATAAATTTGACAGATGACCCAACAGCACCATCCAAGCGTACCAAGAGAACCTTCTGGACCCTTTCCTGTTGCTTGCCGTTTTGGGGTTGCTCTTCCCCCTTTTGTGGGCTTGCAAAACGCGGTCTTTGGGGCCCAGACTTGAGATGCGCACGGAGTTCTAGGACACAGCGGATTCCTTCAGTGGGATACCCAAGCATGAACCAAGGTTTCCCTATTAATCCTGGGTTTCCATGGCGGGTTTAGCCCCGTAAAGTTGACAGGGTTGGTCTGGGAAAAACTAATACTTACTTGCCCAAAGCCGACCTTTTGACCTTTTGGTTTTCCCATTTTGGTCCATTTTTAGTAAAGGTCCCAAACGGTTAACCTTCTATTTCCAGGTCGTTTGGGCAAGTGAGAATAACAAGTTGGTCGGGTGGTTAGTAACCCTACTTGGTGGGTGGTCGATTCGCCAAGTTAGTAAGTTGCAACCCTTCGGTAGCAACCCACCTGTAGCCCTGGTGAATTTGGGGTTAAACACCTTTTGTGTGAGAGGACCCAAGTGGCCAACCACTTGGCAACGAACATCCAAGTTGCATGGCGGAGGTGGCCCCGTAAAGCTATCACGTTCGGATCAGCTTCGTGAAGTCTTGGCTGGCCAATTTATTTTTGACTTACTGCTGGTTGCGACATTTGTTTGCACGAAATGAAACCATGATTCAAACCATTGTTGGTACTTGCAGGCAAATCGAATCATTCCAGAATGTCTCAGGTGGTGCAGGTGTTCGTCCATCCAGAGTACTGCAGAAAGTGATTCACTTTGCAGTAGCAGGAAGGTCATTCTCAAAGAGGACCTCAATACCATGGGTCGCGCCAAAAAGCAACCAGGTGAAGCTCCATTTGGTTCGAGGTATAGTCTGAGGTACCATAGTCTGATGGTCTCTTTGGGTCGGGAGCAACCCTGTATAGTACCCCTTCACCATATTCCATTCTGTTCTCAAACGTCTGGTTCACTTAGGGTTACCTGCCCAAGCCAATGGAGCCATTCAGCCTTTGCAGGGGTCCAGCAAAGCCACTCCCAGGGGTCAAAATCCAAAATCCAAATCGTACCCCCGGTGAACATCCGATTCAATCCCCACTAAAATCGGTTCTAAAATGAGTGGTGAATTCACCTATCCCAAAACGGTACCAGCAGTGTTGACCCACAGCCACATTGTTTTTTTGTTCCGATGCCACCAACATGGCGCAAAGGTGTTCGTATCCTTGAAAAGCCGACCAACAAATGGTACCAACAGGAAAACAGCCAGTTTCAGCGAGGAGACCCCATCTCCTTTTGAACCCTCCCTGAAAGCTGTCGACCCCATAGCTTCAGCTGTTGGGGAAAAGCCTTCTTAAGCAAATGGAAGCAGATGGTCATGGAAAATGGGGCGGTTTTTGGTTACCTACTTCTACCCACTTGCGTACCTGAGATACTCACTGACTGAGTTCATGAACTTCAAACTTTTTGGGAAGACCACATGAGCGGTAAATATAAAGTTTGAGAACTTTTTGGGCCATCCACTCAGCCAGTGAGAATATGAAAGACCTACCCTACCTCAGGGCTGTGGACATCCAAGCCACGGCCAACGCCTTCGCGGCATTGCGCAGCGACGGCACCTGTGTGACCTGGGGCGATGCCCAAAGCTCCCTGGCCAGCAGCTGAGGACGTCCCATATCTTCCACTTGCTGCAGAACAGGGTTGTGGTTGATCACTCGGAATTGGTTTCTCCAACCACTTCTGTGATAATTACCTGTGGGAGTCCCCCTTTATATGAACAAAACAGTCCTTGGGGTTCCGCCCTTTCTGTGGTATCACAGAAGTGGTCATTTCCCACAGCCCTGCTGCAGAATGTCGGGTTTGAAGGGAAGCTATCAACTTGGACAGTATTTTTCTAGGGGGCTGAAGCAAACGGAAGTGGTTTTCAAGGGAATCGATTGCACTATACTGGACGATTTGGAGAGTTTTTTTTTCCCCAGGGGCCGGCTTTCGCTCGGAAAACCCACCACAAAGTAAGGGCACCGAGCCTCAAAAAAAGACAGGTGCTGATTGGGGGGTTGCTACCATCTGTTTCACAACAAACGTTAGCGACGCTTCGGGCTGTCCAAAAGCTGACAAATAGATCCACTGCTTTCCCCCACTTCAAGCACCCTCTTGACCCCCGGATTAAACCCATCCTAGGGTGGTGGAACTCCCCTAAAGTGATAATCTCCTACTAACAAAAGGGGACACCCTACTGATCAACCAGAAGTTTATGAATCTTGGGTCAATATGATTTGCTTTTGGTGGTCAATTCATTTGGTGTCAACCACCGCCTTTATCCATAGGGTCAAACATGGCATGAATTCACTACCAGCTGAGTATTAGCCACCCTCACAGACACCACTCCCAGGCTTGGATGTTCTCGGTCAGGTGAGTCACAATCAAAACACGGGCAGTTGGAGGGTAGCAACGGATAATTTTAGCCGTAAGTGGGCGCCTTCGCCTTTCCAATTCTTTGCATGGCTCTGGGGATCGACCATTTTTGCACCAGTTGCTTATGACTCAGGCGGCGACCCCTCCGAGCTGAAAGATCTCTTGCAGCTCTGCGGCTCCTGCGATACCTTCGCCGCCCTGCGCGCGGATGGGCGCGTGGTAACCTGGGGACAAGGCGGACGCCAGCTGCGACACGCGCGTTCGCGTTCGCATTCGCGCGCACGCGCGCGCGCGCGTTGGAGTGTTTCGGCCTGTCTTCCGTTGGTATCCAACCGACTAGCTGAGTTGCTGTGTCACCCTGAATGTCTAGGTCTCATGAATAAGCAACGTTAGTCTTTCTGTTGAACGAATGGGCCTGTCATACCGAATCGCCGTGTCAGGAGCTCTTTTGCTCAGTCCCCTGTTGCAACCGGCACTGCACAAATCCCAACCCCGAGCGCAGAACCAGCACCCGTCAAATGAGATCCGACGAGGTCCACAAATTGGTCGACTGTTTGAAGGGGAAATTATATGGGACTCCTCTTGGACTTCCAGCCATGGCTTGGGATATGACCACATGGTTACTAACTAATTACTTGCCTGACGTACCGAATCGATCGCTCAGGTGAGGTGTCCAACTAGCATGTGATATGTGTCAAAACGGGGGGAACGGCAAATTGGGGTGTCCCTTTTGCTTTCCCTTGAAGCGAAGCCTGAAAGGGTTCCGTCAAACACTGTATCTTTTTTGGGGGGACCCCAAAAAACTGTGTTTTTTTCCCTCTTGGTGTGTACTTTAAACCCACAGAAAAGGGGTACTCTCAGTGGTGTCACGACTGCGCGCCGACACGACAGGCATCACCCGGGTGCTGGATGTGGATGACCGCTCGCTGAGAGACCAATGGCTTGTCTGAGTGCGTCTCACATCGAAGTCAGCTGCGGGCCATTGTAGTCTTCTGTGCCACCCAGAATTCCTGGGCCCCGTGCCGCAAAGTGCTTCTTCGGGGTCTCAAACCTACTGAAAGCCAAACTCTACCTCGTTTCATGGGGATTCATAGCAGAACGACTCTGCAAACCCTGGTTTGGGCGCTCAACTGGCAGCCACAATGGCGAGCAATCGCCCCGATTGTGATCTCTTGCGCCCAAAGTCGGCTGCAGACCTTCCCCAAGGGAGGGTTGGATGTGCGAAATCGGTTGAACGTGTGGCAAAGGGCTTGTTCCCTCAAGACAAGCGGTTAGTACCCGCCTGGTCACTCTTCCACTCGGTACTAGACCAGCTGGGCCAAGCCAATGCAGTCAGTACATTGGAGTCCCTAGAGGGCTTTTGTTACCTGGCCAGTTGAAAGGCTGTCCTTTTTAGTTGTTTGCCTTTTTTGGTGTTGCTTCATATTAATTCCCTTTCACCCAGCAAGACGTTCGCATGTTCCTGGAGGGAGGGTCCTGGCGGGAGACCTGGATTTGTACTCATCTGAACGCTTCACAGGATCCAACTCCCCCTCCCCCCCGTTTTCTTCCAAAGGCCTCGCCCAGTAATTCTTTTTGTTTTTCTGCATAGCAACCAAGAGAAGCAGGACCTTGGAAGCAAATGTTAGGCTTTTATCGCCAAAACTAGCAGGGCTCCTTAAAATGATCTCCATTTTGCAACCATTTGAAACATGTGGTTTTTTCAACACCAAAATAAAGGGAAACCACCATTTACAAGTTGCAATGCTCGGGTGTATTTCATGTAAGGATCCTTGAATAGGTCAGACTCGACCTGGAAAAGCCCCAGGGGGTCGAAGGGAAGAACTCAGTTCCCCTACTCCAAAGAACATATTTTGGCAGGGAAGTGTTTGAGCCGATCGGTTTTCCAAGGCAACGATTCAGCAACCCGGTTTTCGTACAAGCTTGACATGCGATACCACCTTTGAAAGACTCACTCCTCGAGTTACTCGAGTTCCTGGACTTAAGTGACTTTTGGGGTTTGGACCATTTCAGTGGTACGTACCATCTGGGTGAATTATAACGACCTCACACGACCGCATTCACCCCAAGTGGTGGTTGATGTGGGACCGCCTTATTTCAGGTGCGTGAAGTTTTATTAATTCACCCATACATAGATTGAGGACTTGTTTTGGCCAATCCACTCGACGATCGGAAGTGAGAGCGAGCGGGCGGTAGTTGGGGGTCGCGAGTCCAGCTTCAGGTGGATCAGCTGGCTATGGAGAAGCTGCCGCCGGGTTTCCCCAGATTTGGCGGTCGACGGGTTCCGCGTGTGCTTCGTTTTGCTTGGCGGCCTTTCGATCCATTTGGGTGTGGTTGTCAACACCACTGGGATCCCAGTTTGGGGGTTTCGGTGCCCCACCCAAATTTTAGGACCTATTTTAGTGGTTGGATTTCATCGGATGTTCACTGGGGGTATGGATTTTGAAAAGCCCATGGCCATATATCTAGGGTAAAACCGGAAAATATACACTTCACATATTGACTAGATGGTGGCTGTACATCCATTAAACAGTAGGTTAGTGGAAAACAAGTCCAAGAACGATCGCGAACAGAGGTGAGTCAGTGGCCATTCGTTTTCTTGGCGGTTCGGAACCAGCGAATCCGGTTCCTTTGGTTTGTGGCTTCTAGTTGGTGGGTTCCGAACTTCGGCCCGCAAAGTTAGGCACGTTTAGCAGGGGGTCTGAAAACGCACCGCCCAGTTGTCCGGACTGGTGTTTTTTGTTTTTTGTTTTTTTCTCGGTGGGTTCCCTTGGGTAACAATATCCCTGGTACCCTTTGGCCCAATTTCCCACTCGCTCCCAGGAAGGGCGTGGTCGTGCAGAGGGGGCGCATCGGCCTTGAGGGCGTTGCCACGAGCAGCGAAATGACCGCGGCCGGGACCTCTGCAGCTCCGCATCCAGTGCTGTCCAGTGACCAGTTCAGCTCTGGACGCTCGGCAACCACTGTGTTTTTGCCTGTAGGTTTTAAAAATGATCGTTTCAGTTACTTACCTGCCACAATGGCAACTGGAAGTACTGGATACTGCAAAGGGCCAAAACCACTGAATTGGGATTGTCGGTACTTAAAAGCCAAACAAAGTCAGGATCGTAGGAAAATGATGTTATGTGGAATTGTTGGCTTGCACGGTCCAGCGGTCCGGCGGTCCAGCGGTCCGGCGGTCCAGCGGTCCGGCGGGCTGCTCGCAGCGTGTCATGGTGTGCTTGACATAGATTGCTTGCCAATTGGTTTTCTTTTCGAAGCGAACCCACAGCACGCATGCCCATGATCTAGGCAAGTATCACTGGGCTTTCAAGATATCAAGGGCTCGCACAAGGGCCGCCCTGTAGGGGCTAAATGTAAGACACCCGATTCCCCTCCAGCATCCTCTCAACAACTTGTTCCCACGTCCAAACTCACAAGTGCTCTCCAAAGGGCAGTGCTTGGCAGTGTTCTATTCGAGTCATAGGGCCACTACGAGCCAAGCAGGCTCCCTGCTGCTGCAGTGTTCTTTGCATGTGTTTGGTTCTTTGGTTCTCTTCCCTGTTCGTCGTGGTGGGCTGCTAAAAAAACATAGAGGTGTTTGCTACCATACGGACCATGCCGAAGCTACGATGCTGCGCAGTTCCAGGTTTTTGTGTAGCAGGTAGCCAAGGAAACTACCCTTTTAAACACCCAAAGAAACATGGTTTGCTACCTGCTATAGGGGTATGGGTCAAAATTAAGCCACCAGGGGGACCGCAGGTTTTAGTCCATGTTTCCATTTACCAGGGATCCATTTTGGGTACCTTTTTTTGACCCACAACCATAGTGGTAACAGGGATCCACTGGGCTGGTGACTGCAAGCGCTGTATGGTTCAATGCACGACTTCACGCGAGGTGAACATCGCCGCGCGCCGCAACTCTCAGGCCGGTTTGGGTTTTGTTCAGTGAGCCTGCCCACACGCCAGTCCCGTTAGCCCTGTATTTGTTTGTTGTTTCGGCGGGCAAGCACAAGGGGTCTGGGTAGTTAAAACCCTAAGCTTTGTCAAAGTTAACAGACTAAAAGGACAATTAAGGTGACCTATAGGGGCAAATTCCACAGGCTTTGCGGCATGACCCCTTCCCACCGAAAAGAACCGGAATACAAAAGCAGGGATCTTAAGCCTCCTTGACCCTGGATGTGCAGTAAGACCCAGTAGAGCAGTAAACTGTTGCTTTGCGTTGGTCAATCCACTCAGGAAGTGTGGCATGCTTGCTAGTGTCTTTTTTTGCAGGGGGGTCCATTTAGAATATCCTCCACTTCCATTTGCTTAAGAACAATTGTTATTTTTCCCTGCTGGGATTAAAGGGAATTTATCACTATTGAACCTATTTTTCATTTTTCCCAGGGACAAAACAGGAAAAATAAATGGAGGTCCACCGCCTAAACAAAGTCCCCCCCCGCTCTTTGTCCCAATGGGGCTTGGAGGTCGGAGACAAGTGCAGATGTTTGACGCACGTGGGGACCCGTTTTTGTGTTTCTTCCTTTTTTCTTTTTTTTTTACTGGGTCAAAGGCAAAAGAGCGACCCCTCCCCCCCCAAACCAAAAGCATCAAAAGACCGCAGAGCATAGGTTTGCTACCCCCAGCACTACTTTGGCCAGAAACCAACGTAAAACACTGTGTTTCGTAGCGTTGTTTGTACCCGATTCACATCTCCACCAACGGCCGCTCTTTAAAATTCAGCTAGACATTGAATAGGATTTAATGGGCTTCAGAAAGAAAATATTCGTTCCGAATCCCACTGGAATTTATATATTCAGTACAATATTTCGAAACAATCCTACTGTGAAGTATATAGGTTAGACTAGAATTTAGATAGAAATCCTTTCCCAATTGGACTTTACGGTTCAATTAGAGTTTGAACATAACCTGACAAGGACAGAACTCAAGCATAATTTATGTTTTATTTGACTAGAATGTGAATTTGATTTTTCTCTATTTGCATTATATTTCGCAAGGATGTGTCTTTGCAATTCAGCTAGGATTCAAACAGTCAAATTACTCGAACAGGGTTTCAACTCGAATCTTCAGTCAGCATGTGAAACGCACAACAACATGCTCACAGTGCCGAGCTCTCTAAAAGCATAACATGCCCTGGAGAGTTTTATAGGCTCACTTCTTCATGGACTATAGTCGCTTTTCAGGCAGACCATTTCAGTGCTAAACAACAAATTCCGGGAACCTCTTTTTGACCAATCCACTCGATCGGAAGTTTCATAGGATTTGGGATCCCTTCGCCATCCGGACCAAAAGCCTGACAAAACTGGGGAAACCTCGGGTTACTGTGGTTACTTCAGGGAAATGGGATTGTCTCAGTATCTTGAGGGAACCACGAGCAAGCCAACCACCATGGGTGTCCTTTTGTAGGTCAGTTTACTTAGAAATAGATTAGTTCCACTGGCTTAGAGATGATGTGTTTGTCCGTTCACCAGGGAAACCCATCTATTGATGCAAAAGGTCACCTATGAGCCTTTGGGTGCGAACACAAAACTTTGCAGTCCAAGAAATTCAATGTAACAACCTTCCCAAAAAAGGACAAATGCGCCAAGCACCTGGATGCCCCAATTTTTTTACAGCCAAAAATGGATGCCACTGGACTCGTCGCGAGCTCCTTGACTTCGGCCAGGTGGTGTCGCAAGCTCGCAGGTGCGGGAGATGTGGAACCCCTCCCCATCCCCCTCCCCCGTGTCTATCTACAGCAACCAAAAAAAAATCAAACTTAAAGCTGGGTTGCCCCAAAATGATGGTTGGTGAAATCCCTTTTTTGTGGGTACTTTGAGGGTTCAGGTGGTTTCTACAGTGACCTCGAGGCTTTGGGGGGACCAAGAAGACAGCTGGGAAGTGCTGGTCTGTGCCTGGACCCTCAAACTACCCATACTAGAAGGGAATTCCCTCAGTTTTGGGCCAAAAACCAGCTAGGGGATTTCGACGCCCTAAATTTGCAAGAGCAACAAAACACACACAGACCCGAGCGCCCTGGCCCGAAAGCTCCCCGAAATCCAGAACATGGGCGGTTCAACCGGCGAATCGGGCAATTCATTTCTCAGGTTTCTAGATGTTGCCTCCATTTAAGCCACAAGTTTTTGGCAGGGGATCAGAAAAAATGGACACCCAGAGAAATGAAGGACGGCCACAAAGAGAAAGGAGCCCATGAAGAAGCAGCCTGGCTCCATCAGAACGCCACAAGACACCGTGGCTCCCAAACATGAAACGCAAGGCGGGCCAAATGCCAACAGGACCTGCTCGGAAGGCCCATGCTTCTTCGTGAGGTCAGCCCCTAAATCAGAAAGGTCGTATTCACAACTGCACCCTCAAAGTATCAAGAAGGATAAAAATATGTTTTTTGGGCAAACTCCCCTACAGGAAGGGAGAGTTACTAGCCTTGTACGCCTTGATCATGACATGTCATTGTGCAGAGGGGGCGGTTATGGAACAACGTTGTAAACGTTTAAGCATTGTTTAGGCCCTTATAGTACCGAGAAGACGAGACAATTCGAACTCAACCGAGGTAAAACGAGCTCACCCATGATGAAGGTTTCTTGGTAAGTTGTTGTTTGTGCAGTTTTTAGTTTGGGTGTGGTAGCTGAACTGCTGTTGGCATGTTTTTTTTGCTTTCTTTGTTGTGTTTTTGTTCTGTTGGTTTTCAGCAGGCTGCAGAAAACCGTCAGTTTGCAGCTTTCATTACTAAGGGTTGGAAAGTGAGCTATAGCAATTTCCCCTTTGGATCCATTTCCCTAGTTGCGGAGTGCCACGAGGTTCTCACCCTTCAAAGACTGGTACTGGATGGAAGGCTACTTACTTGCCCAAAGCGAATCGACCTTTTGACCTTTTGGTTTTCCCATTTTGGTTTAACCATTTTTAGTAAAGGTCCCAAAAGGTGATCACCTTTTATGTCCAGGTCCTTTGGGCGACTGAGTAGTGAGTCAAGGGATCCGTTTCGCCAGCTATCTTCAGGAAGAAAGGCCGCCGGGCCTCCGTGGAGTTCCTGGCGTCCGGCCTGCTGCTGCAGGCGTGCCCGGATTTTTGTTTAAACCCGGAGACTTCGAATCGAGCGACCCGAGGGCTGCACAGGTTTCTGTCATTTTCATGAGTATTCCCTTCGGCCCCCAAGTGACCATGGGTAGCTCTCCCCATGTGGGACATATCATATTTTTGGATATTTCCCAAATAGTCATGCCATGCAAGGGACCTTTTCGTCCACCCCCATTTGTTTTTGGTCCATGCTTCTAAGCGAAACTACCACTACTGTTCTTTTCTAGGGACTTAAGCAAATGGAGCATCCGAGTTACTGTTTGACTATTTGACTGTAGATTTGTCAGAAAACCATGTCGCTTGATCATTTGCTGCAAGACCATTTGACTTCATGCTTGTTAGAAGACCGATTATCTTTCATACGTTTAGGAAGACCATTTCAGTGGCATGCAAAGAGTTTAGACGTTTTTTGCCCCTCAGGAAGGTTAAACCTTTCTAAAGGTATGCCAAACCTTGGCAGGGGGCTGTGCGGCAGCAAGTTAGGGCAAAGATATGATGTGATTTGTGAGGAAAGGGAGAATCCAACAGCAACTTGACACATACCCTCCATTTGCTTAAGCCCCCTGGAAAAAATATCCAGTAGTGATAGATTGCCTTTAAAACCAAACAGGGAAAATAAAAGCAAATAAATAGAATACCTAATTATTTATTTATTTTTTAAAAAATGGAAGATACCCATCTGGACAGCGGCTCAGTTTATTCCGCGCACCCATCCTGCTCGCTGTTAGCTCGCGCGCAGGATGAGCGGACGCCATCTAAGATGCCGGCGGCCCAAGAAAGCAGTGGCATTTGTGTTGACTGAAGACCCGGGGCCCGTTGGGTTGCAGTTTCCCCATTAGTGATCCAGGATCCAATTAGCTCTCCCTCAGTTCATAGACTTGACACTTGGGTTTGGACCATCTTAGCGACCCAACAAAACGTGTGGTGACTTTTTTTTGGCCAGCTCCGATCCGAAGTGAGAACTCAGCATCCAGCTTTAAGAGCTTTCTTTTAGGTTCAGGATCCCAAGGTCCAGTTCTTCTGTTCCGAAGGGTCTGTCCCAAATTCCACGGGAGTTGGAGAGTTGCTCCTCTTGATACTCAGGGAAGTATAGGGAATCGTGTTATTGGGGGGACACAAAGGATTCCATGGTTTTAAATGCATAATCTATCACCATGGACTTTGTTTTGTTCCTCATGGTTTTCCGGGTCGACAAAGCAGATGGAGATCTGGGTCTGGGTCTCTCCTTTTTGAGGGCTTATCAACACAAAATAGGGTTCTCATTTAGTTTCCCATTAAACAACCAAATTTAATGGGAGGGAAACAGGGGGTGCCAAACGGAAGTGGAATTTAATGGACATGTAATGTTGTTATCCCATTAAACAGGGAGTGCCAAATGGAGGATGACACGGCTGACACTTTTCAGTGGACTACTTGGTTGGGCTCCATGGAAAGAATTCCGTTTCGGACTTCCGGCTGTGGTTTGGTTGCCACGGTGAACCAGCTTTGGGGCTTGCCGCAAATTCTCGGGGTACCTTCCGTTTCCATTCTTTCCTTTCTAGAAAGCCTCCGAAAACCCTGGGAAAACGGATCCGGCTTTTTGGAAAGAACGATGGTTGAAAAGAATGGTTGGAACAAGAATCAACCCTAGAATCACCAAAATTGGCCCATGTTTGACCCCCATGTTTGGGCAAAAACGGTGCCAGCCCCCTTGAGCAAAAACGGTGCCATTCTCCGAGGCCTTTTTGGGCCCATCCACTTTGGGTCTGTTGGGTCACATCCTTGCGACTTGAGGCGCCGCGATTTGGAGGAGCTGAACATGGCAACACCTTTGGGGCCCATGGCTGACGTAATTCATTTGGCTCATATAACATATGCTCACCCCCCCCCCCCCCGCAAAAAACAAAAACAACAACAGAGAAATAAAAAACAACAACAACTAGGTTGTTGGATAACATATATATATATATATTGTGTGTGTGTCCTTTTTTCCCGCTTAGTTTGGTTAGAAATAATAGATTGGCAATCCACTGGTTAAAACTATACTCACATGCCCATCTGGCATGTTTTTTCATTTGGTTTTGGGAGCTTTTGGGAGCCAGCCCATAGTTGTGACAAAGTTTGGGTTGGGCCACTTTCTTACAAAGGGAACCCCATTTGAGCCACTTGCTCAAAACCTTTTAATACTGGGGTTTGATTGTGACTCATTTGAATTGACAAAAAAACCTTGCCCTGGCACAGAGAAGGATCGTTTTCTACAACCATGACGGAACCTGTGTGGTTTGTCGGGCTGAAAAAAAAAGAAGCGCAAGGGACCGGCCAAAGCTTCCACATGCTGTATGTTTGAGGCTCATACCCTGTGTGGCGAAAAAGGGGAAATGAGCGATTTGGGCGGGCCCCCTCAGCGGAATGGGTCTGTTCTTCTTTGGGGTCCTTTTTTCGATGGTGTTAAAGGAAAACCACAAGGAAAGCCACCATTTTGGGGGTACCCTAACAAACACACACACACACACTGGCACGATGTGTCTTCTGACGAGATAGTAGAAAGTCCGGTTTGCCAACCCCGGTTCCACAGTCAAAATGACTCACTTCCAAAGCGATACTTTTTTGGGCTTGGACCATTTGTGTGGCCCCCCCCAACAACCTGTTTTTTCCAGGCCATAATGCGAAGGCTCCCAGTTGATGAGTTCGGGGTCGAGATTGCAACACACCCTTCACGTACCTGCTAGGGCGGCGAATGCGTGTTACACGTATCCCAGATGAGCTTGAGCGCAGTTTTGGTTAGCTAGTTGGTTCGGAGCTCTACTTACAAGGTTTGGTCAGGGTGATCCGATGCCACCCAGGTGTACCTTAGCCGCTAGGTAACCAAGCCTTGTCACCCTTTGAAACGAGAAGGAAACATGGTAGCTGGTGACCTGTGGACGACATCCGTTCGCACCACTTTGAAGCCATGAGGTTCCATTGTTTGTTTATAGGGGAATCGACTCATTCCAGGGTTTCGTAGGTGGTGCAGAACAGGGTTGTGGGAATGGAATCCACTTCTGTGATACAACAAAAAGGGCGGAACCCCAAAGACTAACACCCCAAAAAAAAGGGGGAGATTCCAACTTGTATCACAGAAGTGGTTGAATAAAGCCCTTGATTCCACAACCCTGGTGCAGAATGTCGTCCATCCACAGCATGGCGAAGCGCCCTAAGTCGACCTTTTTTCAGTCCGATGCCTCGGGTTCCAGGAGGAGCGGGCGCCCACAAAGGGGCGTGGAGCCTGGCTTCGATTGACTTTGGAGCCTCAAAACTACCCTGAGTGGATCCCAGCTACCACTTTAGTAGGAAACCAGTCTTGGTTTTACCACGGACTGTTTGCCCTGGTTACCTACTGTAGTGGCAACTGGAAGGACTGGGTACCGTCAGTGGATCCAGGCGTTTCGCCACTACAACCAGGTTCGCATTTTGCCCAGACCTTCCAGCTACCACTACAGGAGGTAACAAGGCATTTTTACCTTCCAGTTTGTTCATAACTGTTCCCCCTGGTTACCAAGTGAAGTGGTTACTGGAAGCAACATTCTTGTGTTAGTTTGCCTTTGGTTTGGTTCTGCTCATTTCTTCGGTGAGGACGGCACAGAATGAAGTTGATTGATAATGTAACCCGCGGCAGGTTAGCATTGACTACATCAAGTCCATTTCCTGCCGGTGTTTGGTGGTAGTATTGTATGGTATGTCTGTCGCCGACCCTTTGGTGTCCGGTTCTTTGCCCAACGCCAATCTTTGTGCCTTCCGGTTTTGCCAAAGCTTCGAGAGGCAAACCTCGGGCCAAACATGATTTCCGCTCAGGTGTTATTTTCAGACCCACCGGGTCGTGGTTTTGGGGTTGGTAGTGGATTCTGTGCGGCCAGCAACTCAGCCTGTCAGGGTGATGGGAAGGGGTGCATTCCGTGGACACGCGCAAGGGCTAGGCCTGAGCCGTTTCCCACAATCAGCAGCACGATTCCTTTTTCTGTGAGTGAGGGCAGCGGAGGTGATGCTGAGCAGACGCAAACTGAGCGCGTTAACATCCATGTGATGTCGGAGGGTATGCGAATTGGACAACTGGAGGTGTCTTCACATGTTGGGACAAGTGCAATACAGAGTGCTGCCGAGAAGTTATGGAACGCGAGGTTGGATTTTCCAAGCCAGCCGGTTTCAGTTGCCGAGATCGCAGATGAGGCAGGCAGGATTTATGCGCACCTCCTCAAACCGGAACCATGGTTGATTCCTGGACAACCACTGCGAGGCATGAGGGTTTCCCGTACCTCTGGACGGGTTTCGCGGAGTTTACTTACCGTGTGCCACCTTTGCAGCTTGGACAGTCAATTTCCTTGCCGACTCCTTATACTGCAGTCAATGTGTGGGATCAACGCAGTGATCAGACCCCTTCAGATGCAACTGGACATGCGTGGTTTTTTTTGGCAGGCACCCCTTTTGCAGTGGCTCAACCGGGAAAGCCCAGTTCCGTTTTCTTGCAGGCACCCCTTTTGGAGTGGTTCAGCCAGTTAGGAAGATTTAACACATGACAGTCACCCATGTGGCAATTCCCAGAAAGACTTTGTCCGAACCCTAAGGACTGAGAAGGCTTGCTTCAAAGAGCCTTTCCTGGATCACCTTGAAAGGGGGGAGTAGAAAAATGATAGGCATTTCTAGGGGCACCTTCCATGTCCATTCTTTCCAGGGATCATTCTTCTTAAAAAACCGCCAAAATTTTCTGGGGACACAGTGATCGGTTTTTGAGAAGAAGGATGGTTGAAAAGAATGGACAAGGAATCAACCCCTAGAGAATTGGGGAAACTAGCTCGAAAAAGGGGAGGTGTCCCAACTCCGAAGGTCCGATCGATGGAGTCGGCGAGACCCATCACTTGTTTTTCAGACCCCGTTCAGATGGGGGAAGGCAAGGGGGTTGCATACCAAGACTCCACGGGTTGCTTCCCCATTCTTTTCAACCATCGCTCTTTTCAAAATCCGGATCCGTTTTGCCCAGGTTTCTGGAGGTTTTCTAGAAAGAAGGATCCCTGGAAAGAATGGACATGGAAGGTACCCCCAGAAACACGCGATGGGCCCTTGCAGTGCTGAGTACTGTCCTCGCCTCGCTTAAGGAGCATGGCCAGTCTCAGCAGCTCGCGCAAGCCCGGCAAGCCCAGCCAAACGAACGACGGGGGACTCGACTGGTCGAAAAGCAAACCGTTCAGTGCACCCGATATACACCTCGTTTGGAATATGCATATGCTATGTATATGTACTGATGTATCTCTAAATATGTTTGTACGACAACTTATATAAATAAATAAATCAAGAAATAAAGAAAAAGTACGCAAGTTCAAATTCACCTGTTGTATAGAATAAGCTCATTTTATTCACATGTTAATATACATACCTTTATATACATGTATTTCTATACCGATAGACAAGCTACTATACATCGCAGGGGCACCAGGCACCTGCCAGTCAGCAATCCACCAGGGGTACGAGCGAAAGCCATTAGAAAGTTCTTTACGTGGGGATCCAATCCTTATTTCAGGTGTACATATTGTCAACATTTGGCGATCATATGATATACTGTAATGCATATGTACGTGTGTGTGTGTTTATGGTTATGCTCAAGGTTATGCTATATTATGTTATAGTGCACTGAATAGTGTGTTACCCAGAGGGTCCAAGTACCTTCTGAGGATGGCTATTGGGGGGTCAAACTGGGTCTTTCAGTACGTCCTTAGCAGGTACCAGGGGACCCTCTGGGTTATATTGTAGCGTATTGTGCCATATGGATGCACAATGGCGGATTGGCCATAAGCTTCGCCTGTGACTTGTCGGCGGTTTGTGTTGTTTTCTGGGGCGACTCAAGGGAGAAGAAATTTGGAAGACCCCAGTAGGGAGAATGGAACTTATCAAGATTCTGGGTACTGCCAAGCATGGGCTTAGTTTGTACCCCTGATTGCTAGTTCAGTGAATGCAATTGTAAGGCTTCCAATTCTGAAAGACCATAACATGCAAGGAATCCATGGCATGTTGGTATGAATTAGTCATTCCACACCAATCGGGGAAGCAATGAACAAGAGCAACGCCTCCCTCACCAAGTCCTCTGACACCCGCGATGCGACCTTTGGCCTTGAGAGGCTAATGGGGTGTCCAAAGCCAACCATTCGATTTCAATGTTTTATATATATATATATATATATAGCAGGCCCCTACCTGCTACTCCAAATTCCTGCAAAAAGCGGGTTCTGAATCATAACCTGGTTTTCAGAGGAGAAACCCGGTTCTCAGACACGCATACGGAAAATACGGGTTGTGTACTGATTTGGTACGGGTTTTGTACGGCTTTTTGTACGGGTTTCCAGGTTATTTAACCGAACAACTGGTTTTCCACGAGTAGCAGGTGCAAAACTCGGTTTTTGCTGCCAACCCCATGTTTTTTGTAGGTTCTTCGAGTAGCAGCTAAGGGGCAAATGACTATTTGCAAGAAGCACCTGAAAACCGCAAGGAGACCCAGGTTGTCCGAGAGCCCGAGGCTGGTTCATGCCCCAAGCGTAGGGCTGAATTTGCAGCACCCTGGGCCATACAGCCCGAGTATGCCCGAGTGGCTTTTCGGTTTCGAAAGATCCAACTTCCGGATAGTGGTCGGCCCCCAAAAGCAGGTTGGGGTCGACATCAAGGAGCGAGCGCACGACTGCGACTTGTTGCATGAGGTTCTGAATCCAGCAAAATGGCAAAGTCCGACCCATCGACAATTTCAACACCAGCCACGTCAACGCGGCTTGGGGCGTCACGGAGAAAGTACACATCGACGGCATCAATGAGATCGTGTCTTTGTGCTTGCATTGGCTTCGCGAACATCCTCCACATGGCCCTGACCACTGCCTAGTAGGTCGTACCTTGGACCTCAAAAATGCATATAATCAGCTTGCCGTGCACGCAGATCACAATTGTTGTGCATGGGTCGCCGTCTTCGACCCCGTTAGCAATGGCACCAAATTCGTGCAGCTGATAGTTTGCCATTTGGTGCAAAGGCAGCCGTGCATGCGTTCTTGAGGTGCAGTGAAGCGCTCAAGCTTGTTCAGCGGGGCATCATTATGATGAATAGTTGGTTCGACGGCCGCATGTTGAAACAAGGACTTCTTCTTGCACAAGGCCCCACCGCTTGATCTTCTAAATCTCTGCAAGTTGTTCGGAGCTCGCCTGGGGGAACAACGTGCTCACCCATGGTGATCCTCTAGTAGGGGAGTCCCTTTTTTCCAGCTGCCAGACATTGAATACATTTGCTGATACAGTGGGCGTCTTCGAAGGCAGCGAATACTCTCGTATGAGTGATTTCCTTCTACTTCCATTCGCTTAAGAATACGTGTGGTTTTTCCCTGTTTGGTTTAGAAGGAATCTATCACTTCTGGACATGTTGAATATTTTTCCTAAGCAATTGGAGGTCTAGAGGGTCCCTTGCCTGAGGTATATTCGGGGCTTGGAAGGGGATACGTCAGTAATGGTACCCTTCTCCTGGCCGGGTAGCTCTGTTTGGAGGCGTAGATGTCGATCCCTTTTGGACCGATATCTATCTCGTCCGGATTTTGTTTCATCAGGGGGGCCTATGGGGGAGGGAGGAGGGGGGGAGGGAGCCCTTATTAAGCCCTTAATAAGGCCTTATTTAGGGCTTATTTGGGCTCCCGAACCCCTCCCCTCCCCCCCAGCCCCCATGAGATCAAACTCTTGGTTTTCCAACTTTTCGGCAACCACGAATTGAGAGGTCCCAAAGTTCTTCTCGATCCCTAGTTCCCGGGCTTGAAGCTTTTGGGGGGCAGCAGTTCAGTAGCAATTCACAAAGCGCGTTGACCTTTGGCCGATCCGCTCGGGATCGAAGTGGGCCCAACGTTAACCCCGGAGTCATCGGTACCCCTGGCTGATGTTGATCGGGCGGTGTCTTTCTTTCAGTGAGGCTTCAGACCACTTTTGGAGGGAACGCCCCCCTTGATACTGAAACGGGTTTATTAATCCTGGGTCAGCATCATGGCAGGCAACCTTCTTTCAGGGAAAGCACCATGGATGGTTGTGCCTGGTACCTATATAGTGGCTTGCCTGGAAGCATCGGGACCCACTTGGAATGGTCCAATGCGGCAAACGAATCAAAGGGACCACTCCTAGGGAGCGGCAGCTGCAGCGGGAGCAGCTGGTGCTGCACATGTTCCGCATGAAGGCGAGCGCCGGCGCGCGCCGGAAGAAGAAACCCAGCGAAAACCCTTTACAAGGCAATGTTCAGGTGTATAATGTAAGGATTTATGTGGTGTAGTCCATCCGCAGCATTTCTTGGAAAGCAGCAACCGTAGGGGGCTTGCAACCTCAAGCATGATGAAGGCAACATATTCTGTCTTTGAGGTCCTTCATGGAGTTTTCACCCAAACAAGTAACTGGGGACTCACTAGAACCTGTGTGCATCAGGTTGTCTGAATAAAATGACCGACGGCATGTCTATCTGTGGTGAGCTTACCAGGCACGTCCTCGGGAAACAATTTCTGGCTTCAGATGTTGGATTCGTGGAATGTTTAACTAGGCCCCGCAGTAGTGCCCGTTCTCACCCTTTTTGGGGGAGGGTTCGCCTACTAAAATCGACTACAGACACAAAGAGTGCCCTTATTCTAACCTCTTTAGTGGAGGACCTAGTTAAGCAAAGCTGCTCACTCCCTGAGTCCCTGGACTCTTTTTAGGTCCCCCAGCTAGGTGACTTTTCTCACCCCTTTTTTGGTTGGGAAGGTTCCACATGTCTAAAATAGAGTACACCAAAATAAGTTGGTACCTCTCTACTCAAAAACCTCGTTTTTTTTGGTTTGCAAAGACCAACATTTCATGGGAGTTTAATTCGGTTTTGTGTTGGCCAGTCCACTCGATGGGAAGAGGAAAAAGTGAGGCTGTGGTCTCACACCCGAAGAGTTGTTGCAGTGCTCAAGAATATGCTTAGGTGCATTTTGCCAAGGGATGTGATGACTTTGCCTTTTTGCCAACTAATGGGTTTTCCATTAAACCACTGAAAGTTAAACTGTAAGCAAGGGAGCACAAAACAACCGAGTATGTTTGGTTGCCCTTTTTGGTTCGAAAGGGAGCCTATCACTTCCCGAGAATATTGTTCAATTTTGCCAGGGGTTAGCCTTTTAGCCTTTGAGTGTTTGGTAGTTTCCATTTAACCCACTAAAAGTTGGTCACTTTTACCGGGGGATCTGAGGGCAGCCCAGGCAGCTGTCAAGCCGCAAGTTTGGTCGCGGAGTTAACCCGCGAGGCACTGGAGGAGTACTTGGACACCCCAAAGCCAAGGCCTGTGGCGAATCCCGCGAGATCCCGGCGTTCGCCGCCCCTATGGCTCGTCTTGTTTTGTTAAAGGTGTGGTTTAAAAGGGAAGGCAAGGAAAACCCAGATCTTGTTTTTAAGGTCGGTTCCGAAAAAAGACATGCCTCCACAGGTAATTAAGCAGCTGTTTTCCTTAGCAAATTCTGAAGGGTACCCTTGGCCTACAGATAATTGCTCCAGACCTCCATGGCTGTTTTTTGTGGAGCTTCTAAAAATCAACCAGCCAACCATAGTGCTGTTTCCATCCTTTCCGGCAGACCTCCATGTTTGTGTGTGTGTGTGTGTATGTTTCATGTTCTTACTTGTTGAGTTCATGGACTTTAATTAGTGACTTTGGGGGTTTGGACCATTTTGTGGTAAGCAAACAGTTCCAGGATCTTTTTTGGCCAATCCACTCAGGAAGTGAGTGTTTTTGTTGAACCTGTTTGTTCGGGGTGGCAACATCCTTCGACAACAACCATCCCAAACTGGCTCCACGCGATGTAACGTTTTGCTGGGAGGTGGACATCCCGAGAACAAGGAACTGCTCACAAAGACAGTCCACATTTCTTCTTGGTCCAAGTCAACACTGGTAAGCACCATATTGTTCAACAATAAACAAAATACCGACATTTCCATCAGTGAGTCAAACCTAAGGGTCGAGACAGGGTGATCATCAGCCAAACAGGGCAGCACGACCCATGGAGATGGAGTTTCACCGTGGCTGTGTGATGTGTGCAGTGTAGCTTTCAGGGTCTGACTTGTTGGTCCATCATCCATCAGGACTTTTAGGGCTATTTGTTGCAAAGGGAATGGGAACCTTTTTTTCGGCGTTCAAGAAAACCACAAAGACGCCAATAATCATGTGGCTCCCGCATTTGGAGACCCCATTTTCTTGGCACCATGTGTTCTTGCAATGCATTTTGTGTCCATTTCTGTCCGTCTCTTTTTTGCGCCCTGTTTTTGGTTGAGCTCAGAATCAGGCGCTGCTGCAACTTCACAGCCTGCATGGCCTGGCTGGCAGGGTGCTCATGGCTGGCGTCCAAAAACAAATGCCCTTGGAGGACTCCTATGTGTCAACTTTGGGATGAACCCGGACATGGATTTCTGTTTCCCTTTGGGCTAACCCCTCAAAAAGTCGGACTGAACTGAGAGTTTGGGTTGCCGCTGCAACTTGTTCGCCGATTTCGTTCTGAACATTTGCAATCTGTTTGCCAGCAACCTGTCGTTTTGCAAGTCTAGCCATGGTCGAAAGTTGGTGGTTTCCTTGGGTTTCCTTCCAGCGGCCTTCTTGCAAACATGACATGCACCTCTCCTTCGAAAGACCTGTCCTTCAAGTATCCTGGATATGGGGGCGCTTGATCAAACCGGGTCTCGCTATCCAGATCCAAGCCAAGAACGTATTGCATCCCTGGCATGACTTGGTCTTTGGTCTCCATGAGGCAGAACCAAAGGAATCCAAAGAAACTCAACGGAAAAATGGTGACGGGTTAACAACTACAGAGGGACTCCCGAACCGTGGACTCCCGAACAGTACGGTGCCAAAAGGTTCATCGGTTGATCATGATCTGAGAACTAGGCTGGGCCAACATGTTTTCAGCAGGCAGATGGTACCTGTCAGGGAGACCAAGACTTCCATTTGCTAAACATGTCTGTTTCCGCCTGTTGGTTCTACAGGGAATCCAGCACTACCGGATGTTCTTTTTTCCAGTGGGCTGCAGCGAATGGCGAAATTGGCTTTGGAAAGACCCCGGGGTAGGGGCCTCCTCTCACTTCCTGAGTTTTGTTTGGACCATTTTGATGGCAAACAAAAAGTTTGGACGTTCTTCAGTAGCCAATCCACTCAGGAAGGCAGGACATCTACCACTATATGTTGGATTTGTTTGTTTTTTATTTAGGGGACTGAAGCAAATGGAAGAGGAAACAAAACACAACGCGGATCTCCGGTACGGCTTTCCTCCTTTGCTTTGCATTTGGGGTTTCGGCTTGCCAGCCAAAAGGGAGGTACTCCCTACAGGTTAACCTGGAACCCCAAACAACCACCAATTTGTAGTGGAGCTTCTCTCGGACCCCCGTTTAGGGTTCTATGTAATTTGTATGGAGTAGCATCGTTTTTGTGTCCGCAAGAGCAGCTGGTTCGGGATTGGGACCTGTTCGGCGATGTTGGCAATTGAGCTGCCCGAACAAGGCAGGGTGCTTTCTGTGGTACCAGTCTCTTTAAAGTGACCATGTTTCATAGGGCCTGGTATCGCAGAAAGGGTACCATGCAAACAGGTGAGCCCTCAATTCTACCAGTTCCAGCTTCACTGGCAATTCGAGACAAACCCATGCCCAACTGTTTAGTTGTTCCTTGTCTACTTGAGTCCCGTATGGTCATTTCAAGACCATGCGGGTCTGTCTTGTTTTCAGGTACGCCCCTTGTTAGCTTGAAAGGAAACCAAAGGGAAATCGAAATCCACCGGATTCCAACTCCCAAATTTGGCACAGTGGATGGACGAAATCCTACTGTGACACACCGGGGAATCATCGGAAACCAGGGTTTCTTAGGAGGTGCGAAATGGATTTCGTCCACCCACAGTATTAATCTACCCCCGGTTATTCATAGAGGGGTGGTTTTTGACACCTTCAATAGTGGTGATTCCCCACTAAACCCAGGGGCACCCCCCCTATTAATAAACAGGACATCCAAATGGATTTCCTGCACCCACAGTACCCCCTACTTGTTTTTATATGTCCTTTAATTCTATTTGGTATTTCAATAATTTTCAATAGCATCATCTGTTCTATCTACTTCAGGTGTATCTAAATCTGTTGTATTTGTCAATGCATTTTCAATTGAATTAGCAATTGAATCGGGTGTTTTCTTGGTGAATTAGACATCAACTAGTCAAGTGTTTACTCAAAACTATTTCATGCACAGACACGGCACACTGTTTGCACTTTCCAAAGATATGCTGATACAATTCAATCATATTACTCCAAATACCCTCTTTGTTTCAGGGCATCATGTCGACCCTCTACTAAAAAAGGGAGGTATTTACTACGGAAAACCGATCGGTTTTCCCACAAAAATGCCCTTAAAAAAAGCCTGTATTTTGTCACGGAAAACCGATCGGTTTTCCAAAAAAGACACGCAACAAAGCTTTCTCCAAGAATACCCTGCAACAAAAAAGCTTTTCTCAAAAAAAGGCCGGGAAAGGACGGTATTTTACCCTGCAACAAAAAAATCCTTTCTGAAAAAATCAAAACAACTGTATTTTGTGTAGGGGGTAGGAGCCCTCGAAGGTCTCACGGTATGCGACTCCTGCGCGCTGAGGCCAGCCCCTGCCTTTGGCTGGGGCGGCGGATGAAGCTTCTGCATTGGTCCGCGGGAGCCTCAGGAACCCGAGCGGGGAGCCCCCGGCCCCCCCCCCCAAAAGGGGTGGGCTGTCCTGTGGGCTTCCAGTTAAATTATCTAAAACCAATTCTTTGGGGACATTTGTGTTCCTGTTAAACCATCCACGTCCGAAGTGTCTTTGGATACATTCGGACCCGTTTGCTTTGCGTTGTGTTTCTCATCGAGCGGCGTGCCACCTCCCACAAGGTCGACATTTGGGTGCTCAAAATTGAACAGGAGGGGCAAACCACAGGTGTTGGCCTTCGTTTCCATTTACCAGGGCAACCCATTTTGGAATTCCGTCTTTTTGAGCCACGGCCATTTGTTCGCAGCCGCTTGAAGAGGCCAAGTTGTTCAAGCCTGAGGCGTGCAGCTTTTGGAGCACACCTTGATTCGCCTCCATGGCTCCTAGCCACTTAGCCAAGTAATTACCCTGCCCGGTTCAAAAGCATCTAAAACCCAGTAACCGCCTAAGGTGGCTTCAAACTAGACCCCGAGTGTCATGAACTCTGGGGTTGGCTTACGGGGAAACCAACATTTTCAGCCACCCGATTTGACTTGACCAGCTTTTTTTGGGTGCGTCTTTTCCGAGGACCCCGCCAAAAACATTGGGTTTACCTTTAAGCTTTCCCTCAAAACTCCAACAAGACGGGTACCAACTCCAGAACCCCCCCCCCCGGCCCCCCACATGGAGTTTTCGTGTCTCCCTCGACGAGGTGGCGGCCTCCTGCAACCGACCAGAGGCGGAGCCTCCGGAGGAGTTCCGAAGACGCCGGATGGTAGGCGCGAATGACCCAAGCGCCCGCTTCAGGGGGCAAGGCCTTTTTCTTTTTTCACGCGTCGTCTCACTTCCCTTGGTGCCAGCTATCCGGTTCCTTAGCTTTTTTTAGATTGTTTTTGTGTTTAGTGGTTGGATTTCCGAGTTGAACCCGCTAAGAGTTAGTCACATTTTGCGCGGGGATCTGAAAACGGACAGCCGAGTTCCCACTTGCGATCGGTGCCATAGGCCGGGAAGGAGAAATGAGCCGAAGATAAATTGCATCCAACTGGTGGTTTCCTTTAAGGGAAGAGAATGATTTTTAGCCTTGTACAAGCGTCGACTTCGCCATGCGCAAGCTGTTCTTTCGCCCTGCGCGGATGATTCTCTAGCCATGGACCTAAGAAATTGATTGTTTAAGGTAAGGGAATCCCCAGACGGCTCATTCAGCCACATTCTTTCCTGAGCACGATTACACTGCCCAGGTCCCATGACCCCTGGACCCTCCCTGAAGAGCACCCCCACTGATTCCTCAGCCCTCAGAAACGAGGGCCCTTAGAAACGACCCATCAGGCCCCAAAATGAATCGGGACCCTTAGAGTGGTGTGAATAAAATAAGATCGAACATAGACCCCGTGTTCGGGACATGTCTGTATTTGTTTGCCGCGCCAGAATTTGGGGCGGCGGGGTTTGCTTTCTGAGTTGCAAGAGAAGCCGAATTGCTTAGGTTGTACGTGTTGCACCCTGAAATCCGTTTTGGATTTCAAGGTTTTTGGGAAGACCTTTTGAGTGATAGGAGGTTTGAGCTTGTGTTGGCCAATCCACTCGATCCGAAGTGAGTGCCAATGGCAATGGCGATCAACTTGCTAATTGGGCCTTAAACCAATGCAAAAGGGCTCCTAACCTACTGCGGGGTCGACACAATCCACTTTGCTAAGCACGTGCCTGGTGCTGAGCGGATTTGGTCTCAGGTCAAGACGGGAAGCCATTGGAAGTAAACGGATGGAGGTCAACATAGAGACCCTTGCAAGCCGGTGTACGTCCATTTGCTCAGATTGCTTATTGCCTTTAAACCAAGTGAATTTATCACTGATGTTTCATGTTGGTCGACTTCCAGTTGCTCAAACCGATTTGTCAAATTTCCTTTGGTTTTCAAGTTGGAATCTGTCACTGGACATATTTGTCTCATGGCTTTTGTCCAGACAAAACAGCAGATGGTACTGTGGATCTCTGATTCTTTGGCCCCCCCCCCAAACAAACGGCGGTTTACCTTTCCCAGAGATTCCATTTCCATGCTAGGTAACCAAGGAGAACCACTCAGAAAAACCCAAGAGGGAAATGGCTGGTACCTACTATAGACTATACTTTCATCAATTTTGCTTGAATGTTAGGCCTTCAATTTTTTGCCAACTAATGGGTTTCCGAATTAAACCACTAAAAGTTAAACTTTTAGCAGGGGAGCAGAAAGCAACCAAGGAACCTTTCGACCTTTCTATTCTACGGGTAGCTTCCCCATTCTTTCCAGGGATCCTTCTTGCTACAAAAAAACACCAAGTGCCGTGGGAAACAGCTGGTTGGCGAAAAGAACGATGGCTGATAAGAATGGGACATCAACCTCCAGAACTGTTAAGAAGGACTTTAAAAATTTGTGCTAACTAATTTGGGTTTTCCGAATTAAACCACTAAAAGTTGAAAACTTTTAGCAGGGGAGCAGATTTCGCAACCAAGTATAGGTGCACCACCCAAATTTTAGAACCTAGTTTAGTGGGGATTGAATCGGATGTTCACTGGGGCTACGATTTGGATTTTGAAAAGCCCATGGCCGTCTGTTTTCTCGGCCTGGGACCCACTAGGTTTGAAGTTTTCCTTTTTTGCTCCAAGGATCGAAGCCTTCGATTCGAGCGCAGGGCTTTGGTCCTACTTGGACAGCTCGGGATGGTATGCTGGGAGCCTCAAATCGGTCATCCGGTCCGTTCCACCCGAAAGTCTTGGGACCCCCTGCTGTTTAACTCAGGTATTGTTGGCAGGTTTCTTGGTTTTTTGTTGCTTTCTGGTTTTCTGTTCATGGACACGAACTGTTGTTGGCAGGTTTGTAGAAGAAAAAAATGGGGTTCTGTTCATGGACGCGGGGAGGTTGGTTGCGTGGTTGGAGAAAAGGAAGTTAAAAGACCCCCGAGAGTACCTTCTGAGGATGGCTTTTGAGGGGTCAAAAGGGGTCTAAGTACGTCCGTAGCAGGTACCCTCTGGATGGGTAACCCTTCAAATCATGTCCCGCTTCTTCGGTTTTTGCTAGTACTCTGTGATCGGGATTGGGGATACCTTCCATTTATCTATCTGTAGTGTGCGTTTCCTGGGTTGTTGAGAGGGTCCGCTGCTCAGAACCTTCTAAGGATGTACTCAGAACCTTTTGACCCCCCAAAAGCCATCCTCAGAAGGTACCAAGAACCCTCTGGGCTGGTATCCTTTTGACCACCTTTTTCGCCCCATCACGAGGTACTCTCTGGGACCCTCTGGGACCATCCCCACCCCTTTAAAAATGGGGCGGGGGGGGGGGGGTGATTTCTGGAGATCTCCATTTATGGCAACCCATTTTCCCTTCTCTGGGGAAGACTGTTGGAATTGGAGAAGGGACGATCCCCTTGCCATAAATAGCTGCGGATCTCCGCCTTCTTAATCCTGTACATGATTCTGGGTAGACCATTATTTAGTACCAGGTTTTGTTTGCGACTGCTCCCCTCCCCGTTGAAGCACCCCCTCACCTTCCACCCCCCTCGAGGCAGACCCACTGGACTCAGGTGGCGTCTCTGCAGTTCCGCAAGCCCGCGGAGAGCGCCGGCGGCTTTCAGCTGCCCCACTTCGAGGAGCCGAGTCCCGAGCCGAAGCGCCGAACTCGGCTCGACGTCGGATCGGATGGGAGTGGCGGTTTTGGTCCGGCCCAGTGAGCGGAAATAGATTTGGAACCCTATAGGAACACTGTTTCGCCCCACAAAAAAGCGGCGTTGCGGTTTATAATTTCCGGACTTGTCGGTGTGTCTCGGTTTTTCTTAGTGGGTCCCAGGCGTGGCAAGCCCCCTAAAACCAGGATTTCCCTTGTTGAATCACACAAAGTCCTGTGGATCCCAGGCGAGCCGTGGCGTTTCGCCCCCTGAATTGTTGGGCCCTCTGGGTGAGTTTCCTTCCGGGTGATGTGTTGAACGGGCATATAGGCAGTCCTGCTATAGGCAACCCTTCAACCCATGTCCCTTTTGGCGTTGAAAGGTGGGAAACCTCTTGGCTACGTGCTCGGAGAAATGGAATCACTCGGTTTGTTTTGAGTTGGTTCGCCTTTTTGGGGTTGCTTAGAAGAGAAAGCAACGGAAACAAGAAGCAAACAATGAAGCGGCTTGCCCAACACAAGGGGATCGGTCATGTTGTGTTTGCTTTTTGGGATCCGCATCTAGAAACCTGTGTGAGCCAATAAACACAACTGTTCGACTTTTTGGAAATGCTCAACTGGAGGAAATGGGTGTTCGGCTCCGCTTGAACAAACCTGGCGGACAAAAAGGGGTTGGGGGGAACCCTTCCGAAAATGCAGGATCAGTCTTGACTTTGGAGTGCCCCTAGCCTGCGTTTTATTTAAGGGCTGCCGCCCAGTGCCGCCGACCCCTCCGCTGGGGGCCAGCCCAGGTTTTTTTTGTTCTGTCAGCGGCTTTTGGCTGGTTCAGGCTTGCTGGCTTGCTTGCTTGCTCGCTTGCTTGCTTGTTTGCTTGTTTTCAGCGCTTTTCCAGGCCGCACTCGTTTGCCCACAGCGAGCACCAACCAAAGGAGTGCTATATAGAAAGTAGACAGCTAGCGGTCCCCAGGGCGCAACCAGCAAGAACAGCTTCGCGTCCAGCGCGCTTGGAGGCCGCACTCGCTTCGCCGCAGCGAGCACGAACCAAAGGAGTGCGCCGGCAGCAGAAAGGAAACGGAAAGAAAGATGGGCAGGGATCGTACATGCAGTAAAGCTATGTGTCCAGAGACAGCGGCCAGCTACAAAAGCTTCGCTGCCCGCGCTGTTCCAGGCCGCACTCGTTTGTCCACAGCGAGCACCAGCCAAAGGAGTGCGCCGGCAGCAGAAAGGAAGAAAAGAGGCCCTGCTGCCGGCGCACTCCTTTTGGTTGGTGCTCGCTGTGGACAAACGAGTGCGGCCTGGACCAGCGCGGGAAGCGAAGCTTTTGTGGCTGGCCGCTCCCTCTGGACCGATAGCCTTGCTGCATATTGGACTCAAACGCGACGTTAGGCACCCGGCCGCGGCGGAGCACGCTGCGAACGGGCTGGCCGTGACAGAGCTTCAGCGCTGAAAGCTGTGCGCAGCAGGTAGTTGAGCACTCTCGGCCTGCTCAGCTCAGGGGCAGTTGGTGTAGTGGCATCACACCCGCACAGCATGCGAGAGGGGCCGGGCTCAATCCCCGGCCTGTCCATGCCCATGTGCGCCTGCGTCTGTCACAGTTTGCCTCTCCCTGGTCTTTCATCCCTTTGGGTTTGCTGTGCGTCTTGCCAAGACCGGCTGCTGCGCCGCGGCCGGGTGCCTAACGTCACTTTTGAATCCTATATAGAAGATAGCTTCGCCGCAGCGAGCACGAACCAAAGGAGTGCGCCGGCAGCCTGCTCCGCCGCGGCCGGGTGCCTAACGTCGCGTTTGAGTCCAATATGCAGTAATAAGGCTATCGGTCCAGAGGGAGCGGCCAGCCACAAAAGCTTCGCTTCCCGCGCTGGTCCAGGCCGCACTCGTTTGTCCACAGCGAGCACCAACCAAAGGAGTGCGCCGGCAGCAGAAAGGAAAAGGAAAGAAAAGAAACGAAGAAGAACAAGAAAAAAGGGAAAGAAAGAAGGCTGGTAAGGTACAGGGCTGAACGGGCGAGGGCGAAAGGGAAGGGAGAAGGCTGCCACAGTCACGCTCCAACGCTAAACGAACACTCCCCCAGCGCCTTCCCCTTGCAGGCAGGGGGGTCGGCGGATTATCTACTGTGGGGTGGTTTGGAGCAGCTTTCAAGGAGGGTTCCAGAAGGTTCCAGGAGGTCCCGGGGCTGTTGGGGGATATAACCTGGGCTTCTTTTCTGCTCGGGGGGTGGTTCCCAGTAGAAAAATGGTGGGCTCACTCAAGCGAGGCTACCAGGAGTCCGAAGAAAAAGAACACATACAGTCGGGGCGAAAAAACAGGTCCAACTAGATGCACGGTACGTGGATCCATTTTGGCCAAAGATTTCCCTTCAGCTTCCCACTGTTTCGATTTACCTGCAGCACCAAAAGGAAACCAACAGGGAACTAATAGAGGACTCTGACTCTTGCGAGAAACACCTAAATGTACCTGAGTTGGTCACCAAGGGCTTTCCACGCAAGAAATCTGGACATATCTGGACAATTGGTGACCTAGAAACCCTGAAATCCAATGGTCACTGGGCGACTTTGGCTCTCTAAAGCGGTTCCAGCAGAGATGGGCAGGGGATATGGCTGACTTGAATATTTTTGGAAGTGAAGCTAAGCCCCTTGAAAGGCGGTTTTCAGCCGGGCTGGGAAATGAGCGTCATCGCGGGTGTGATGCTTTGGGACAAGCGAACCGGATGCAAGGCTGTGCCTAAGACTCGGGTGCCTTCCGGCCGGGGCCGGCACCTCACATCCATCAAGGGCTCGTTTTGGAGACACCGGTCCCTTTCAAGGCTCCACAAAACCCAAGCCACCCAGTCCATCGGAAGCCTCCCATTGCCAGAGCGAATTCCTTAGGTATCCAAGAGGAACATGACGAAGGGTTCCCTGGTGTGGCCAAACGCCAGAAATCCCTCGGGGCAAGTTGAAAGCGGGTTGGGTTGACCCTTTTCGTTTACCCCACAGCACCCAACAAGTTTAGAGATCTCCCCACTTGCCTCGCCCGCGACCGAGCGAATGCTGACACGCTGCTGCGCGCTGCTGCGGGGCGGCCTGAGATGGCTGCTGCTGCGCCTCTCTGCACCGTGGCGAATACACACTCCATTTTGTAGTGTATTTTTGGAGAAAGCCGGTTTTTCATGGTAAATACTCAGTATACCGAATCAAGCGGGTATTTGCAGTACGAGCCGCTATTTGTAGTACAGGAACTGAACCAACTCTTCACCGTTCTTCCCAGTGACTCCATTTCCTTGAACAGTAAGCTTGTTGCTCACATTGGCTGGCTGTTTCATGAACGATTCTGCCGATCCACGGGCACGAGCAACCAACTGTGATGTGGGTCTTCTACTTGGGGGTGATGCCGGTGTGCTTGTTGTGCTAGTATGGCCTAGTTTTTGAGGGCTGGGGGCTGTGCGAGTGCACGTTTTGCTATATGTTGATCTGCTTTGCATGCAAGCTGTATTTGTTGTTTCACTTGCTTTGCTTATGTTGAGCTCGGTTGGGCGAAATGTGTTGAAATGCTAACTGATTTGTAAAGCATATTTTATTGGAAAGGATCCCCAGTGTAGAATGCAATTCAGATTAGATCAACTCTTGGTAACATTATGCATATATCTAAAATAGAAATCATGATTGCGTTATTTCCTTATTATTGAATTTCTGTTAAATTGAGTATAAGTAGATACACATATTCATTATAGTTCAGAGGAGAAGCATTCAAAGATCCAACCATCGCGTCTTTACCCAGGCCCAGCACGTGTGTCGTAGCGTTTGGGGTACATTCACATCTTCACCAACGGCCGCTCTCTACAAGTCTAAATTGGACTCAAGGAATTTTGCATTTCGCTTCCTATTGGAAAATCCGATCTAACAAAATGAACTAGTAGAATTATTGTCCAAAAGTAACCTTACGTTTGAAACAGGAGTTTAAATAAGAGTTAATAAGGATATAATTTAATCATGAGTCAAAAGCTTTCCTCAGGAGGTATTAAGGGACCCTTTAAGCCTTATAAATTCAGTACAACCAATAACACCCAGAGTGGATCCCAGTTACCGCTATAATAGGTCACCAGCCGTTGTTCTTTTGGTTTTCAAAGGGTGGCAAGCCCTTGGATACTTACAAGACCAGGGACACGGAATCGCTGGGTTACCTGACCAAAAACCAGAGGGTTCAAGTACCTTCTAAGTACTTGGACCCCAAAAGCCATGCTTGGGAGGTATTTCGGGGCCCCAAAAAGCCCTTAAAAAAATAGTACCCACAGACAGAGCCCAGAGAGAGTCAGTCAAAAACAGCAAAACCAGTAAACCCAGCAACATCAGATAGCCTTTGGGCCCTATAAAACTTGGTGGTTCCCAGCCATACCCTTAGCTTTTTAGCCTTTTAGTGTTTAGTGGTTGGATTTCCGAATTTAACCCACTAAAAGGTAGTCACTTTTAGCGGGGGATCTGAAAACGGACAGCCCAGAAAAGCCAGCAACACCAGTAAACATTTCTTGGTTCGGCATCCATCTCCATCGAGGCCTCGCTGGCCTCATGCGCGGCAGCCTTGCCGCCGGCCACGCCCAACGAGGCGGCCAGCACCAGGCGCTTCGAATCGCAGCGCGAGCGATGCGCGCGGCGTGGGTGGAAGCCATGCGTCAACTGGGCGTCTTTTGGTTGCATTGTAAACCAATCTAGAAGAAAAATAACCTCAAGGACATACATCTAGAAACGATATTTTGCTGACACCGTTTTTTAGCCACCCCCAGTTTATGAATGGTGGGGGTGGCATGTCGATAGTTTCTCCCATGTGGGTTCTCTTGAGGTACTCGCGCCTGAGTGAACTGGGGGCCTAACCACGGGGCTTCACGGAGTCTTTGACTCCAAGTCACAAAATCAGGGGGTTCCCAATAATAATTTCCTGTAGTACAGGAAATTCTACAAGTTTGCCAAATACCGACCAAAATCAGGGGTTTCCCAAATAGAATCTCCTGAAGTT